TAGGTGTTGTTGCTTGGCACAGGTTCAGCTATAAAAATTGTCATTTTAGGTTTTGAAAGCTAAGACAAGAATATGATTATTTTTTACCATTACAGCCCAGGCACTCGGCGCACTTGGCCGATCTGATGTAGATGTTGCATGCGGGCCCTAACACAATTTATCATTGGGTTGGGGTGTCCCATCCGGAAGGGGGGGAAGGACTGACTGCACCTCAGAGAAGCCGACTCTCGATTCATAATGCATGTCTCTCTTGCCCGGCGGGCCCTTCAACCGCTCGCATCGCCAACCGAGACCCACTTCTCTCGGCCACCGAACCCTTCCCATCGCACCTCTTCCTTTCTCACTGCCCGTTTTCTCCTATCCGGATCTCATTCATTTTATAGATCCAGTTGTTCTTCGAAATGCAACCAGGCGCGCGAAATTTAGCATAAAACCGATCTTAATTTTAAAATTAGTCTAAATGATCTCTGCTCCCTTCTGCCGCCCACCCGCTCTGCACCATTTTTTTCCATGGCGCTACGGTTCGATACTCGCCAAATGTATATGAGACTGGTCTACACGGGCATTCCTTGTCGCTTTAAACTGTTCGCAAGGAGCCGTTTTAAACGTGTTTTTTTTTTGCAGTTTTGCAACGTCACATGGTTCCTTGTATAGGGCGAGAAAGTCTGAACAAATCTAATTTAAAAAATATTAAACGCGACAGTCTGGGGAAAAATTACTTTGTAAGGGCCGATTTTTTTACGCTTGCGCGCTAAAGCGAATACAAAGACAAAATACACATTTAATAAATTAGGAGACCGTTCGGGTCCAGCAGTGCTTACAAAATGGGTGATTTTAGAAATTAAAGCCCTAGCGAATAATCTATTCCGCACCGTAGCGTTCCAAAAACAGCTAAGAACGTCTCGTTGTAAGCCAAGATGTAAAAGGCAATGCTCATAAATCTTGAATTAAACCAACTAGGAGGAGAAACCGCTTCGCAACCTGAATTACCGTACTTTTTTCAAAAGCCGTTCTCTAGCTAGACTAGCATGACAAATCCACATTTAGTCCCTAGCTCACCCCAGCGACTGGCGAATACACACCCATTTTCTATTCACCAAATACTAGCCGCCGTTCAAAGGAACCATGCCATCCCGGAACCAACCCAAAATTCTGACACACAACGCTACAAATTCACTTTGTTTACCTCAAAGCCTGAAGAAAACTGTTGGTTTTCAAGGCCGCCTTACGTAGCCAGGTCACATGAGATCGGTAAGGTTTGTGATCGCTAAAAACTGGCTCTAAAATACTCGATTCCCACGCCTGTCTGGAAAATCAGCCTCGATCCCGCCCGGATACATTTTCGTGGGAACTCGAGGTGTTGTGATTGTTCCAGAAACGCGGGACCGAGGACTTGTCATCGCCAACGTTTTCTTTCCCCATTGATAGAATATTATAAAGTCTCGTTATTTCACACGGATTTCGCATAGCTTTATAACTAACGGTGACTAAGAGAGGAGTATAATCAATGGCCATACATTCCTGCCATCACCATAATCCGGCTTCGGTTCGCAACCTCGTTTTTTGGGGGCCCTCCACCCGCCCTACTGTGTCTATTATCTCCCATTTGCAAAGCAGTGGGTGTTGTGTATCGTCGCGTCTATTGTTTGCTCTCAGAATACCCATATTTTATCGAGGACGACGAGGGGCGGGGAGACTAAAAACTAATAACCTATGTATTGGGATTAGCCCCCATGGATGGGTGCGTGTTTTATCAAGATCTAATTAATTCTTGAGTCTCTGTTTTATTTGTTTTCAGCCTATTGTGTGCGGACGGGGAGGGGATGGCGGATCTAGGAAGTTTTTTGGGTTTCCTGTCTCTGGGAGTAGAAATGGTAATTTTTCACGAAGTGGTAACTAGTAAATTTTTGGTGTTACAGGATTCTGAGAAGTAATCTAAAAGGCCAAAATGTGCACTTTTGCGCGCGGGGTTTTGAAAACGGAAAAATGGCTTCTGCGCTGAACCAAAAGTTTTGGGACGTGAACAAAATGGGTCGATTTGCATAAAACCGGAAGCTTCAACAAATCTTTCACTCAAACCTGGACTTACTTTGAATAAGGCCAGTTTTAGAATATTTTGTACTTTTGAACTTTACCAATACCGCGCCACTCTTTAGAATTCCACTTTCTTCACAATTTCCAATCATTTCCAACACATTCCAATTCGCAACTCACCCTTATCTTCGGCCAACTTTCAAACACAAAAAAATAATTGGCATCCCGGAGCACCCTCGCGAGACTTTGAAGCACTCCTCCCCCCACCCCATGAAATGAAGTGGCGTTCCGTTCCCTCGCGAATAATTGGCGACTCGATAGGAGGAGAAGGAAAATGGAGAATAGAATAGGCTATGGCCCGAGTCCCCCCTCCCCACGTCGGTCGTCCGGATCTCAGAAATCTCCCCTTTTTTTCAAGCCCCTCCTCCCCATTCCATCTCCGCGCACCCACACACATCCACACGTGCCCTCCGACGGACGGACTCCGCCCGCAATGAAATTTATCTACGATTTTCGCGCTTGGCAACTCTCGAAGCAGATTGTTTTCTGCCCTTCCGTCGCCTATCTCTTTCTTCTTGGGGTGCCCCAATAACGTTCGTATTCTCATTATTTGAAACGGGCTGAATTCAGGCCTGAAATAGAAGTATTGCATTTTTATGCTAAATTGAAGGCATATATACGTGGTTAGCCTCAAAAAATAATCTAAAATAACACTCAGTACCTCCCTTCCAAGCCCATCAAAGCTTTTTCAGCGTAAATGTCATTTTTCCGCTCTCGGATTCATGATACCGTTCTGATCCTAAAATTCTATTTTTTTGCCAGTTTGAAGGAATTGAAGGAATAAATAAAAATCTCAATAGAAATACGTCTTGTAAGCAGGAATTCCTCTTTCCAAAACTTTCTCCACGTAATACCCAATTTTTTCTCGAGCCGGATTGAAAATCCGGGTCTGAAACTATAACTCCACGACACACCCAAGAGCACATATTTTTCCAGAGCCCCGAACTTTGCGTCCAATTCTGTTTTTCATTTTTGGTGCATGCCCTAAATCCGAAACTGTGGGGCTTCAATCGCCCTCCGGAATCATTTCCGAATTTCAAACCGAATTGGCCCCAGTCCCCGCCCAAAACGTTTCAATTTGACTGTCGAAACTGACGACAAGCCCACCACTTCACCCTGAGCACGACTACGCGCCTTTTCTTTTTTAGTCTACTTTTTATTCCGTGACAACGCGTCAATAATCTGGCCTTAAAGCCCCCAAAAACAACGCCGCTTTCTCATAGGCCATCACGCGATGCTCGGCTTTAGGCGGCAAAATCCAGGCTTGCGAAAAGGTGGGCAAAATTCCTCTGACTAATTCTCGACTATACCTCGAGAATTCCATTTTCCTGGTTCACTTTTGCTGCGAAACTGCCCATGAATCGGTTGCCAATTACCATCCCAGTTGCCAATTTTCTGGCCGATGTACTTCCGGGCTCAAAAAAGGGGGGCGTACCTCGGATGTTGGCTTATCCAGGCCGCTGGAGAGCCGTCGGCCCATATCCGACCCGCATCTTTTCCAAGATTCTTTTAAAAATAACCGCCCGCTCACCGGGGAGATCCGCCTCTGCTGGGAAATAGTGTTATCGCGGGTCCGAAACACATAAAGGTGCCAATTTCTGGGGGGAGACCCGATTTTGTATGGTGCTATCATTCAACTGGGGGCCACAATTTGCAGGCGGAAGGAAAGAGGGGGGAACCGCGGTCCATCTTTTACGTGTCGAGGTTATTTGTGCAAGATGTGCATCAACAGGTTGAAAAATGAATGGCAAAAATTGGGAGGCATGTTTTCGCTTCCGGGGGTGGATTCAACAAATGGGCTTCCATTTCAGGATAACGTTGGTGGGTTGTTGAATTGGCTTTTCCTTGAGGGGGTATTTGTCAAGAAGGAGGGCGGGGGGGGTCTCAGCATGATGGGATGGGATGGGCGGTTTCGTTACGGTAGCTTCATTTTATTGGGGAAGATTGGATAGAGGGCTGACGTGGTGGAGGGTAGAAGCTCTTATTCGTCTTCCTAGGACCGGATAGTGTTGGTTGTTGTTATCGCAAAATATATAAAAAAATAGTATTTGGAAGCGTAATACCCTGATTTGTATGTATGTATGCATCTAGACAGAGGTATGTATGCATCTAGACAGAAGTTAGATTAATCGTATAGATGATGCAATGCAATTAGTCTTCAGTTTTTTTGTAAAAGCTTGAGCACCATAGTTTTAGAAATCAATTACCATTCGCCAAAATTCACAATATATTAATCAAGGGTAGGAATGGCTTATAAAAAATCAGCTGACCCACAAATTTTTAAGGATATCCCATGCTTTTCAAACCCGTCTCCCGCTTTTCACTACGTCTATCTTTATGTGCCCTCATAAGCGCTAAGTTTATGAACTTCACCCGCTTCTGTTTACTCGCCCCGGGACACCCTCTCTTTCTCCTCTTCTCCTACTCCTCTAGATGAGGCTGAATGGCCGGTAATGAGAGTACGGCTGAACCAGAGCCCCCCTCTGGGTCACACCAGTTGCTTTTCCACCAGTCACCCTCCTCGACTTTTCTCTAGCCATTTACCCGAATCAAATCAGCGCCCTATTTTGCCGTCCACCCACCCCCTCCGCGGGCAACACCGCTCTCGAGTCCATAATCCTGTCGAATCGTACTTGTACAATGACTGGAGCTAGCTCCAGAAATCCTCCATTTCAGCCAGCGATTAACAACCCATAAGAACCGTAACCCCCACCAACACCATTGCAACGATAACAACTCGAAAATCACGTTCAAAATCCGTTTCCCTGACTCATCAGTGAAAAGAGGACTTCATTTGTCCCGTCTATTCCTTGCCCTTTTCCGCTTGCGTTCCTGAAAGTGGGAGGATTATCGAAAGTATTGGGCAGCATTTAGTTTCGGATGGACGTGAAGCGGAAGTAGGGGTGATGAGCAACTCAACGGAAGCTGGTGAAGAGGGGGCTGCTGCGCTGCGGTTGGCCCTCACCATCACGCATCTGATTCTCGTCTGCATTGGATTCTTCAATCTGCTCGTCGTTTTTATGATTCTTTTGAAGCCGTGGGTTTTTCTGACTCTATCTCGCTCTCTCTTATGAAAAACTGGACCCGGATGTCGGGAGTCCAATTTGAAAATTGAAGCCGTCAGTTGCTATTGTCTGCCACCTACGGATGGAAATGACGCGGGCTTGCTCATGAATTATGTAGATATCTCTAGAAAAACCTTTAACGCCGAGATCACTGAATCAAGTAGATGTTGTGTAAAATCCTACTATATATAAAAAAATAGTGTCTGTGTGTGTGTGTGTTTGTGTGTGTGTGCCACTTTGCATCCACTTCCGTCTGTCTGTCCGGAGGATATCTCAGGAAGGGACGGGTATTAGGCTACGTATGATACGTCATTAGGTGCGAAATGGTCTAGGGATGGCTGCACACATATCAGAATTTTAAAAATTAGCCATTGTCGCTATTAAATTTAGGGTTTTGTAAAAACCTCTTTGTTAGGAAGAATTAGCATAGACCGGAAGTGGGCCGTCGCCTATATAAAGAGGCAGAAAGGGTTGTTTTTCATTTTTTTTTGTCTTCTGAATGGAGGACAATTATGCAAAGGGCAGAATAGTATGGGGTCCGAGACGGGGCCAGGGTTGAAAAGTCGCGAAGCGGCTTTTCAACCCTGGTATTGTCTAAAACATTAAAATTTAGCTACATGCGAAGCATCACAAATGTTTACATCTTGAGTCTATGCTTGGCTGACTTCATCTATCTCTTCGACTTATCATTTGTCGCAGCCACCCAATTAAAGTAAGCTTTCAGCCAAATGCTTTTCATAACTTTTCTTATAGCCAAAAATCCTGGCCATTCGGCGAGATGGTCTGTACATTCTTCCATGGCTCCGAAGCCACGGGTATGTTTCTATTTTTAGGGCACCACCCTTTTACGATGTCTAGAAGAATGTCTCTTCTAATATTCGCAACAAGGCCTTCTTGATGAAGAAACGCCTAAATAGAGCAGCGCCTGGGGGGCTGCCCAATTCCCCGTGATAAATCAAATTTAGACCAATAATGTTGCGCGCCGCGGGGATGGAGAGAAAGAACTCTTCTTGGCAAATCGGGGGGCCCACCTCGTTCGAATAGACTTTTGGGAAATGTTGGAGGACTTCCGGGAGTGCTCTCGGAAATAGAAAACTTATTTAAAACATCCCAAAAGCTCAAAATATGATACATCACAATATTTCAAAACTCGAATTTCAGGAAAATATGCGTCCGTGCTTTTTGTCGTACTCCTTGCTGCGGATCGCTACTGTGCTATGTGTAAACCATCAGTTTGCGCCAGGTTTTGAAGGCTGCGTTTTGTCTTAATTTGTGCATTAGGTATCGAAACTATCAAACAGCCATTGGCCTCTCCTTGGCTGCCTGGATGACCGCCCTCTTCATCTCCATGCCATTATATTTCGTCTCCGAAGTGGTGAGCTCAAAAGATCTGCCAATCTAACGTCAGCCACCAAAATCCACCTATTTAATTTGACCTTTTTGCCATCAATCACCCGGATCTTTGTTTGCTCGTGCTCCACAAAAAGAAACTTTGTTGAAGGAGGCGCCGGGGCGGGTGGGAGGGGAATTGAGGGTGGGATTGATCCCAAAGTAGCGAATGGAAAATGAGGCTATGTGCTGTTTAAGGGAGTGCCGGAATGAGAGGGTGTATGTGCTCCGAGAATAGAACTAAAAGTCTAGATGCCGATCGTGATTGAGAGGAACAACGAGAGGAAACTGAATCTATTCTGCATCGTCAAATGGCCCGGGAAAGAAGTGGCGAGAACGTAAAGGCTCATTTCCGATGCCAATCTCGCTTTTTCTAGGTACATCGGGCTCTCATCAATCTCCATTTTCTTCATCCCATTGGGAATCATTGTCTACTGCTACTACCATATCTTGAACAAACTCCGGGAAGCCGTTCAGGTCAGTCATTTTTCTCGGCGCCGACGCGTTGTGGTAGCCCCTCAAAATCAAAAGGGAGGAAATCAAATGGGAGGGCCCTCCATTTCTAAAATCATATTGTACCCGAATCACGGAAAAACCCCGGGGCTTCTAACAGGGGGGGAACCGGGTGACCAGAATTAGCTTTTTGGATTGGGTGGGTAAGGGGATTCCAGAGAGGGGGTTGAGAGGGGTTGTTATTCTGAGAAGGGGGTGGAGAATGACTACTGATGGGTTTGGCATAGATGGAATGGAGAAATGGAAAATAGCGGAAATGGTGGATGGGGAGGGTGAAGTCAATGAGGGTGGGCCTAGGAATAGTGATTTTTGACAAGGGGAAGGAAACGGTAGTGGAGGTGGCAACATTTTTATTTAGCCTGAAATGTTGAAAAAGATTACAACATAGTGCCTGGATCGGATTTTGTAGCTATCTAATTAAACAACTTTCAGGGCTCAAAACGTCTTCGTCGAGCTGGCACAACTAAAGCACCATATCAAAGGGTTACCCGACTTGTCCTCTGGGTTGTGATTTTCCACGTCATCTGCTGGTAAACTAACTAAATTTTTTCGTTGACGTTCGTTTTAAGGTCACCTTACTGGATCTTCAACATGCTCTCCTCAATTTTCACCGTCAAAATGAGCTCCTGGCTCGAACGAATCGTCATCAACATCATCTACCTATTCCCATATATCAACTGCGCCCTCAACCCCCTCCTCTACGGGGTGAGAATTTCGACTTCCACCCGAAGAATAGGGCCCTGAGAAAAAGCTGCCGAATATCCAAAATCCCCATGAAATATTTATCCACCCATCTTTCAGATATCATCCGATAATTTCCGTATGGCCTTCCGCTCGGTGTTCTGCTGCAGAAAAGAGGTAGCACCACCGCGTGAAGGGAAATCCTATATGGCGACCAGATCGACCTACGTGCGCAACACGTAACCACCTAGAAAGAGAGACAATACCCGGATTTTCTAGGGTACAAAATGGGTCCCCGATCCAGGAATCCCCGGTCACGTTCTATTCCGCTCCCACCGAACAGCCGGAAGTGGAAGAGGCGAGGGTAATCGAATTCTATTTCCGATCTAGTTACCTCGGGTTTTTCAGGTGGAACAAATGCTGAATACTCATTTTGTTCGCGAAAACGGTCAAGCGAAGGAGCCGCTGCGAGCGCTCAGCGTCTCAAGGTAGTTTTTCCGCGAAAGTGGATTAAGGGCTCTCCGTGATTCTAGGCCATCTGTCCGAAGGAGCTTCTGCAATCTGCAATCCGAGTGGCGGAAAATGGATGCGGAATCTGGGGGTGATTGGCGGAAAGCGTCGAATGATGAGATCAGGCGGCTGTCGAGGTGAGGTGGTGGGGAATTTGACAACAAGAAACATCTGTCCTGTCACATCATATTTCTATCATTAATTTGGGGGTTTGATGGCAATTTTTCAGGGCGAGTGCACGTTCATTCAACAGCAAATCGTCCGGTGGTGGTCGCATGACTGAACGCGAAAAAGAATTGGCCGAGTCTGGGTTTGATATGGTGCCCAGAAAACCCTCATCAAACCGATCGTTGTCCCCAGGTGTCCGGCTTCCCCTCCTGACTGTTGTTGAGCAAAAAATGAACCCAAAATATTTGCACTAAATGTGAACTAACAAGGAGTGCTTTTTTTGAGTCATCTGCAAAACCTTACGCGACCTAGCTCATTCGATAGAGAATTCGATTCTGAACAAAACCCCGTTGTTCTTTTTTGCAGAATGGCTATCCGTGATTTTATAAAATTGTAAAACTGCACCCAAAAGCCTCTCTTTTGGCTCGAAAGCCACTCATGGTAAGGGACGGTCACTAGTATTTTAATTTTATAAAATCAGGGATAGCCATTCTGCAAAAAAGAACAACGGGGTTTTGTTCAGAATCGAATTCTCTATCGAATGAGCTAGGTCTCGTAAGGTTTTGCAGATGATTCAAAAAAAAGCACTCCTTGTAAGGTTATCCCCGAAATCAGTGCGCTTCTCCAGCCACTCAGCATACAAAATCATCAGAATCAAAATGAAAAAATGCCCCTATGCATCTCTTTTGCCAACCCACTGCTTTTTGTGCATGCCAAAATCCCCCCTATTATTTTGATGCACTTACAGGTCCCACCCACCCGCGGGTTTTCCCCATTTTCATCATCAGTTCCGCAATATCTTTTCGGGTTTTTTATAACGTTTGGCTGTCTCTTCCTTTTGGTGTTGATGAACTTTTTTGGGTGGTGAATAAATTTAACAACAAAAGCGGGATCGTGGCAAGAGTACGAAAGGTTAGGATAAAGTTGAGAATCAGTTTGGAAGTGCAAAGGGTCCCCATGAGAGTTGCGTTCATTGGCAATTGCCGCCGTGGGTTCTTCTATGAGTCCGGCTTTTCCCGAGACGCTATTGTGGCATACGAAAAACGGCTTATCCAGTGGAGCTCGAGGATGCAGGGAAGTGGAAGGGGGGGTTTGAAGGGGAGACCAACAAATTTCGAGCCCAGCCGTCTGCGTGCATATCTATTCAATTTCAAGCCGGCGTTCCCAGGGGCCAGTGCACTGGGGGGAAGGGATCGAGAGAGCATTCGATTTTTGGAATACTGTACCCATTGAAAAAGCCAAGGTTTTAAAAGGATGCATAAGTTAAGGGTGTCACATTTAAATTCTGTAAACCGTTGCACGTTGACGTAATTCCCAGGCGAAACAAGGGTGAATTGGGTCGTGAGAAAATTTGTTAGTTAGTTGAAATTTTTAGTAAGGTCACTACCAAATTTTTTTAACTTTCAGAACCTCCAAAAAATGTCAAGAATCGGAGAGTATTGTTTACAGACACTAGAGAATAATTGAGAAGAGCTTCCAGTGGCGAGAGAATTTAGATAAAGTCAGCAAAACAATCATATTGCACTAAATGAAACAACAATTTACCCAGAAAACCGGCTCCATATCCTCCAAACCACTACAGTCACGTTGCCGTTCCTTCAGGTGTTCACCAACCGTCCATAACGCTTTGATCGTCGGTGTATGTGCTGTGCATCTTTCCCCACCCTTCTGCCCTTCTATGTATGTTCCTTTCCTTTCCGTTCCATCGTCTCACATACGGCACATCAGCTGAGAAAGCACCCCTCCTCCTCCTGCTCCTCCCTCTCATCTGCCCCTTGTAGCGTGACCCCTAGATGTGGAAGGGCGAGACAATGCTGTGTCGAGAATCGCCGGCGGCGGAAAATTCCCCCCTTTATTGGAGAACCCTTTTGGCAGAACCGGTGCTCCTCATTTTGGCATCAACCAAGGTCAGTCGAACTCCCCTCCCTTAAACCCAACCCCTTCCCCTTCTATCCAAAACACCCGTAACCCGACCACGGGGGGTCTTCTCTTCAGGCTTTTGCCCCCATTTGGACTGTAAAACTTGTTAGCCGAAGTTCGCTTCGGGATAGACAATGACTTAGGCTCTCTCGTTCTCCATCCTCCGCATCTCTCCCTTCGCGCTCCTTTTTTGAGGCGTAATTCGAGCAGGTCATTTGAGGGCACGACTAGAGGTGATCCTCTGATTTCCCAATCCGAATCACCGCCTGGCTGGCAACAGATATAAATATGGCCCCTTGGCAGTGTGGGACTGTTTGCGGCTGTGGCTTTTCGAATTTATTTAACTCGTTCCATTTTAATCTACTTTTTGAATCTTATGTTTTGAAAACAGGGTTGGCTTTGGGTCATAGTCGAAATCGGGGCGGCGCCGATTTTGTTGTGTCTGGAGTCAGTTCAGGGGTGGTCAGATCGCGGGTCTGGATCGTTTCCTAGTATTTTTCGGCTCACGCTGATTCTCTTAGGATTTGTACTCTATTTTTTGTATTCACCTAATTTTTTACGCCTGGAATAATCTGAAGCAAAGGCGTTTTTGCATAATCTTGTTAATTATCAGCTACCGATTTTTTGACGATGTCTAAATCCATAGATAATTTCTATATAAAGTTAAAACAAACCTTAAGCAAGAACCCTTTCTTTACTCCTATACCGCTTTGGCAAAACCGGCTGCCCCAACTCTCAAAACAAAAACTACCAGCACATTACGGTATGCCAGCGTGGCTATCGTCAGAATCGTACCCCAAGGCAATTAAACGCTACCTTCCCCATGCCCGACGCGCTGATTATTTTTTTTCCGTACAACGATCATGGCACGGCCGACGATCACAACCGGGACGAGGGACAATGGAGAGCGTCGTGTGGGGGCTATATGTTTTGAGGGGAGCCCGAGGCTTGAGGATAGGATGCGGAGGGACCGAAACCAGTCTCCCGGCTCGGGGCTCCAGGCGCCATGCAAATTGTAGCGTTATCCGGAGAGCCCGGAGAGCAGAAGGAGGAGGAGGAGATGGTGGGGAGGGGGAGGTGAGACTGTAGCCAAACGATGTGATGGGTCGCGGCATCCAGAACACCGCCGCCGCTCGGCCTCGTCGGCTACCTACCACTTTGTGGGCTTCCTCTATAGCTGCGGACTGAGAGCTGCTCGAGTCAATTTCTGGGCTGATTTTGTGTATTTGGGGCTCTGAAGGGATTTGGCATTTGATTTGGTGTCTTATCTCTTCTAATATTTACTTGCCTGGGTTTTCCGGGATTGGATGGCTGTTCCAGATTCCCGCACTCTTTATAGACCTACAGGACCATCGCAATCTCATAGTTTCGCGAAAAATTTGAATGCCGGAGCAATTTGCATGTCAGAAAAGAATCGGATCGGACGCCCGCTATGTTCTTAATACCGGAATGGGTCGCTTTCCAAAAACTCCCTGGTTGCGAATTATTTATTAAAAAAACTTACTATCCCATCCTATAAGCGAGAAAAGTATGTCTGTTTTCTGTACAGCCGATTGCTCGGCCGCCAGGCCGAATTTTGAGCTGATTTTTGGCATGGAGGTGGAGAAACACATTTGTCAGTGACGCATTTTTTTGTTTTTCGAAATACTTAAAATAACATTCAGATCGAGAATCTGATACACAAGAAGGGCTAATATCGGGCAAACCGTAAAACGTGAGGTGTTTTTCCGACTCTCAGAACCCTCCAAGAAACAACCTAACCTCTCCCGAAAAACCCCTGCCAGCCTACCCTACAATCCCTTCCTCATGTCGAAATTCCAACCCATCTAGCCGCCACAATTAGGAACGCCCCGGAACCCGGCTGAAAGCTGTTTGTTTATGACTAGCCGGGATAAACTAACGGAGTCGGCACTAAAGACCGAAAAAAATGGGGTGGGTCCGCCGGGGGGGGTTGGGTGCCAGATGGTAGGTCGCTGGAATCGGTTGACGGCCTAGGGGTTTCTATTGGCCAATTGTTTTTGTACCTATGGATTTTACGATTGTTGGGGGTAGGAATGGTTACTAACGAAGTGCAGCTGGGTGTTTTAAAGAGCCCAGGAAAACAAGGTGTGCTGGATTTTTAGGTACGCTTTAGAGGCCTATAGCACATACATAAGCACATACAAATTCTGGTACATCTTTTTTCGTCCCTTATATTTTATTATTGTGCTCATTTTGTTACCTCGTGTTTTCGAGTTAAGGTCGCATCAGTTTTAGCATCGCTTTACAATGGTACAATCCCTTTGAAATATTTTTCTGACTAGCGAGAACTTTTCTAAAAATATATACTAGGCAAGTGATATATTTACTAACGCTAACTACAATATCATGTCCATAAGCTAGTATAGCCCCCCCCTTTCTCTCATGTTTGCATGCCAATGGCTTGCCGTCATTTCCGTGGCGCACCCCGAGAAAAGTCGAGTGGTGCCCCGATCAGTGACGCGGAATGTATCCATGATCGCACCCCAACAGCTGTCCCGAGACCACTTCTCAAGCTGGTGCCCTTGTCTAGAATCAGTGACTTTTGTTGGGACCCCAAAAATTTTTCTAGCTTTAATACCGCGTCTGAACTTGATGGGAGGTCGTCATTATTTCCAAAACAATTACTTCGAAAATAATCACATCAAACATCATGACTTATTGCTCATTTACCTGACTTAAAGCATACTACGTAACTCCTCTTCCTTCATGACTAAGCCAACGTTATTATCTATAGTTAAATCTTTTTAGATGTTATCTCTACTTACTCTGGGCCTATTTGCAACCGCAACAGCTCAGCAATTCGCCCCACAAGCCCAGCCTGTCCCTCAGAACGGTCCGCGTGTCCTCTTCCAGGTAAAAAAACCAAACAAATCCTCATTTCCTCTAGGATGAAACGGTCGCTGGCCCAGGCCAAGTGATTTTCCAGGTACCCTCCCCTAACCGCTTAGGAATCGTGTCCGCTAATATTTTGACTGCCATTGCCTCCACTTTTCTACCAATTTTTAGGCCGAAGCCAGCAGCTCGGCCCAGCTAGACCCGTGCCAATATCTGTTGTCGAATTTGACAAGTTGGTAATTTTAGATGTCTTTTCTTTGGGCCCTACGCAAACTATATAGACATGATTAATCAATATTTTCAGGCGTTGAACGCCTCGAAGACCATGAATTCAGCACCCTTGAGCAGTGCCTATATTACAACTTGGCTGGCGAGACCGCCAAGCGCATGAGGAGGTAAATACCATAAAAAATATCTCATTTTATTTTTGTTTTAGATTCGGGATCCCGCATCCTATTGCTGCCGTCCCTCCGAATTACATCTCGAAGAAGCCGGTCAACATCCATTTGGATCAGCTGACCCTTCAGCATTTTGAATTGGTAAGGTCCTGACCCTTTCAAAAATTCTAAATAATTTAGAACGAGTTCCTGAAGGACGTTGCTATCCATGGATACATGGATATCAACTGGGAGGATGATCGCTTGACTTGGGATGAGGGCAAATGGAAGGTAAACAAGTGATACCGGGCGTTTTTACTTTCTAGATCAACCACCTCCAAATCCAGAGTGTTTCTCATATATGGATTCCGGTCTTCATTGCTAACAAGTAATTATAGGATGACTGGAGCAGAAGTTATTTTTAATTTTAGCTACGAAACTGCGCTGAAGAACGGAGATGCTTTTGAGCTGCGCAAGGTCGAGACTACCAACAAGGGAAATGTTACTGCTACCATGGCCTTTAGGTTTTTATACTTGCCTCATATCTAATTTAACAATTAGCCTGCGCGCTTTCTGCGACGACTCCGACTTCCAGAACTACCCAGATGATATCTACAAGTGCTGCTTCTCGCTTGAGCCACATGTTAATGCTGTGGGTAGTTTGAATGACTTACTTACTTATTTACTATATATTTCAAATCCCGCTATTTTTTTTCTAGGATGTCATCGAATTCACCACTTCGAACAAGCCGATTTTCACCGACCCCAAGTACTTCCGTGACTATGGATGGAGATTGTCCGGAACGATCCCGACTGCCCAGACTGACCCAGCCCAGGTAGCTCAGGTAGGTTGGCCTAGGCCTGCCATCATACCTATACCTTTAAAGATATGCCTATGTTTAGATCTGTTTCATAAACGTCTCCACTTTTAGTACAACTTCTGCATTAACCTGCAACGCTCGAGCTCGGCTGTCAGAATTGAGCTGACCGTTCCCCTGATGGTTGTTGCCTTGATCTTCCTGTTGACCCCGTTCATCGGGCGAATTATGTAAGCTCGTGCTCAAGATTTAAATTCTGAGTCTCTTAGGACGCAAGTCTACATCAAGCTCGCCTTGGTCGGCCTCCAGTTCCTGACCTTCCAGTTGTACTCGGCCCGCATTGCGCCTCATCTGGGGTCGGCTGCCGCTACACCAAAGCTTAGTAAGTTTAGTTTTAATCTTGCACCCACCTCGAATTTCTTGAAATCCAGTGATAGATTCTTTTCTACTTTTATTATTAACATAATTTTAACTCATAAATTTTAGTGCGTTTCCTCGAGTTCTCCGTAACGATCAACACCGTGTCGATCGCCATCTCCATCCTGATCCACTCCATCTCGCGCATCCGCCGAGAACTCCCCCCGTGGGGAAAGCTCATCCAGTAAGTCATACCTTCAAAAAATCCTACGTTCAGAATATCCAACATTGTCAACAAGTTCCTTTGTGTCATCCAAGCCCATGCCCCAGAAGAGGAAATTGAACTTGGCGCCAAGGCTACCACCAACTACCAAAAGGTCTGTCTTAATCCCCGATCCCTAAACTTCAACTATCCTCTCAGGACTGGCTCAACGCTTTCATTGCTATGCACAATTTGGCCATGTTGGTCATCACCTTCGTCTTCCTCGTCGGCTACGTGATCATCCTGTAGACGACGGCGGCATTGGCCGAGTACCCCCCATCCATAGGCATAGCACTTTACTGGTACGCTACCTAACTTATTCCCTTTCCTTGCAACAGCAATTGGGTGTATTTAAGCAAGGAGTGGCAAATGCTTCTTTAATAAAGCTTCAAAAAACAACGCGTGAAAGAATGATTACACGTAGATGGACCACAATGTTGGGATTGGAATCATGTTACAAATGAGTAACGTTAGGCTTATTTGGGATTGCAAGAAAATCATATGGTAGCGAATACAAAAAAGCACCGTAGTATAAGCACTGATAGTTGAGTACGAATCTACAAGCGGACTAGTCAGGGGCTGTAGCTAAAAGACCCGATTAAAATACAAATTTTGGGATAGAGAATTGGAAGAGAAATTCAGCTACCTGTACACTTTTCCCTAGGCATACAAAATTTGGAAATGTTAGTAACGGGCAGAATCTCCGGGCTTGATTCGATTCTTCGATTTTCGCCCACCTGGTCGCTGGCCATCGGAAGACATTCTGAAAACAATTTTAAGATGGTGGAGTCGGACTTACTTAAACCAAGCTTGTACTTCATTTTCGAGCTCCGGAAAACACTCTATCGCCATATCACGGTAGCAGCAACGTAGATCATCATCCCTAATTTATATTCACTATAAAACTTTTTAAAACCTACATTCGATCTATTATATTGGCTTCTCCGTTATGTATATTTGCGACATGACGTTGAATATGAGTATTCGACTGGTAGTGACATTTCGAACATTCGAACTGCCGTCGCTTCACATGCATCTTTGCATGTGTCAAGGCGTTCGTAATCTTGCTGGTCCTCTGATTTGAGCGTTGCAGAACCTCACGATGACAATACTAAAAGAATCAAAAAATTCTAAGCCCATTAAAAAGTCACTCACATTACATCTCAGCTTTTCCTGTTGAAAACTAGCCTTGGGCCGGCCCGTGCGTTTCATAGCTGAATTCAGCTCCTTCGAATTTGGTGGAACGTACTAAAAGGTATATTAGTGAAAATTCGATCAAAATATCACCTGCACTCGTTGAATACCATTGATCTGGTGCGTTACGTAGGTGTATTTCGTCCGCATCGTCTTACGGAAGGGCTGTGTAAATTTGATAGCGCCGAAATATACAACTTACCCGCTCTTCGTCCGAATCACCGGCGTATTCATCTCCACTCTCGAAATAGTCGTCGGGGTTTTCGTTGAGGTCATCGTAATCGCCTTTCTGAAATATTTAAAAGTGTACATCAGTATTAAAAGGTTTTTTGTTTTCTTAAAACCTACCGGGCCCGCTATCTGTAATTCTCCCTGATTCGAATCCATTGCCGCCAACTTCACGACGTTTTTCTTGCGATCATAACGATTATGCGATCTTAGATACACCCTTTCATCGAAGAGCGACTAAATTGTATATTTTTTACTTATAAAGATTTAATTTACCTGTGGCATGCCGACGTCAATTTCCTGGGAACAACTGGGTTGAGCATGAGTCTGTCGTGCGTAATCATGAAATGGCTCTGGCACTGGGGTGATGATGATTTCCTCTGGTGAGGGCGTAGCGGAAGTGTAGACCTCCTAAAGATTGCGGTACGTTTTTAGATAATTTGGCCTTTGATCGAAATTTAATATTTCGAAACTCACACTAAACTCGACGGGCTCTGGGGTATGATAGTATATTGCATCCACGTCGTGATCTTCTTGATGATGCATCATCTGAAACAGTCTCTTTTTGATGCAACCAAAATTGTGAAGCAGTGGTCCAAGAGTGCATTTTTATATCTACAATATAAGAATTTAAATTGTGGAAGTTTATGTCTGGTCTAGCTATAAATGCAAAGATTCTTAATGCTATGGCAGAAAATTGGAGATTTCCGAGACGAAACTGGAGCTTACGTGGCGAAAATACGTTAATAAAGCCCTAGTAAAAGAAATTAGATAGTGGAATTTAATTTTCTAAGCTGTTTATAGAGACCAAGCTTTTCTTAAGGCATTCGGGCGACTACGGATCGATTTGCGAGAGGAAAATGGAGCTTACGTGAGGAAAATAGTCGTGAACAAGATCTCAAAGGAGGGGTGGTGCGATGCTGCTGGCAGAAAGCCAGACAACTAGTGCGCCGTTTAGCATGCAGAGAGAGGGGAATGTAAAGCTATTGAGGAGCGCTCTGACTGTTGTAAATTTGGATAAATTAACTGATGAATCTGCTAGCCCAATTCTAAAATACCACAAACCTGATGAGATATACCCATATAACGGAAATGTTGCTCCGGCATCGCAGCTACCATATTAGGGTAATTGTGTTGATGATGATAGGGCATCATCGGCTGCGCGTGCTGAAAAGGAAACGATTGGTTTTTATCTCCGTAGTATAAATCATATTACATAAAATAAAGTCAAAAAACTTTTACAAAAGGAAATTTCTAGTTTTTGCGCACCACACCCCGTTTTTGTGATTTCGAGAAATTTATTTTGTAAAAGAGCTATGACAAACCATTTTCATGTATCAAGTTTTCAAATTGCTATTTTTTTGCCAAATTTCGTTATTTAAAAAGATGCAAACAATACCTCCATCGGCTCCGCTAAATCACCATACGGTTGACCAAAATTTACATCGGGCTGCCACATCCCCTGAAATAAGAACAGTTCCAGATCTCTTCAGTCCCAATATTGGATAGAAAAAAAATCAAAACAATTTAAAAAAGCATAAAAATAATTGGGAGAGGTTTTAAAAAATATAGCGTGTTGGTGTTCAGACCCAGACAAGTGGCGCCCTGATACGACGGCCTGGTACGAATAGCATTAATGAAAGGGACTGGTATCACTGCAGGCCAGATGTTTTTCAAATTTTTCAAATGGCAGAGAATAGTAAAAAGTGATGACTTAAATAAGTGATAAGGATGGTGAAGAACAAAATTTTGATGGGAAAGTCAACTTAAGCACTCTTCTGAATCTGGACTTGCAAAAAATCCTTAAAAAAAAGTATTAGATTATAATTTTGGAAGATTCTTAATGTCCTCGAAATTCCGCACTAAGCAATAAATCTACCAGTTGCCCGGACAACGGCTAACTTCCTCTTCCTTTTAAAATGTTCCAATAAAGGCTCGGTTTGTGTTTGTCGTTATCGCTAGGAGTTTACCTTGGCTTCACCTCAAGTGCTCGCAAGAAGCGTCGGCTATTTGTGTCCGATTCGACGTGCGCGATCACGGCTTCCGCTAGAAAGGCCAAACAATCTCACACACCCTTCCGGCCCTTTGAAGAACCCCTTTCACCCAATCAATTACTCTACAACTTTCCATGCTAACGTACAGGTGCAAAATTCCCACTTTTCCAAAACCCTTGTTTGCAAGCCGGCGACAAGCCCGATTATGCACGGGCGCTTTTCATATTCGATCGTGTAGAGAGGGGCTTGCCCCCACCGCCTCGAAAAACGTGTATGAAAGCCGATCATTCGCCCCCCATACAACACGCAGTTATTACCCGCCTAAATATCAGTGGGCGTTTTGTGGCCCTCCGCTGTTTCTCCGAGATGCCCGAGCATTGAGATAAGGCCCCCTCATTTTCTGTTTGCAGCCTCGCTACGGAAAAAATGATGACATGCCTTGGCGCTTTGACTAACCATCCCCAAATTTTTAGGTGTTTTTTTTGGAAGATTTGGTAGGGTAGTCTATCTCTCTCCCGCTCTCCTTCGCGCTCTCTCTCTCGCTCTCTCTCGCTCTCTCGCTAATTTTTTTCCTGGTACTCACGCCCTTTGGAAAAAGTGACCTTCCCGCGCAATTCAAACGGGAGATTGTCTTTGATTACTCACTACTGCACCGGACTTTGAGACCTTTTATCTAGAGCTGAATAATTTTAAAATGCGGACATCTTATATTTAAATTAAATATGCGATTTTTTGGGAAATTTATTTATTCAAATATATCACGCTTTTTTCGGAATCTAGAGCTTTGATAGCGAGTTTTGATAGCCAATCCTATTTTTTCTCAGGTATTTTTATTTTTAGTACATTTGATTAGTCATTATTTTTAGTACATAAATAAAGTCGAGGAAAAACGGCTTGTTTAAATCAGTGTTAAAAATATAATGCCATGCTAACAATTGAAACGCGGGATCTTGGCCTCACGGAATTTATTTTCTTATTAATAAAAATGTTATGCATGTTCAGCATAAGCTCCAATGTGCCATCCTCTCACAACGCTCCATCCAACATCCCTCGATCCCCCAGACTCTCGATATCCCTCCCGGATCAGTGGCTACTTGAAATTCCCTTGAGGACCAGCTCACCCCATCTGGTCCCCCAGCAGCCTTATGCTCAAAAGGGCGTCGTGTATTCTGGGGCTCCGATTTTCGGGAGAGGTTGAATGGATGGTTGGAAGTGTCCTTGCCCCCCCCCCCCCTCCCCCCAAATGCCCCCCTCCCCAACCAACCCATCGATCGGAGAGCTCGGCTCGGGCGCTGTTTGGAGGCCCCGCGACTCGCCTCGACCCTCCCCAGCTGTACATAGCCCCCCGCTCCACATAGCGCACACATTCATCCAGCCTCTCGCACCAACACCAACGCCCCGATAAAGCCATTTTCAGCCTTTCCTCCTTCGACTCGTTTGTTTACACTTTTGTCCGACGCCCCGGGCTTAGGTCCCGAAAGTCAGGATTTTTAGGGTCGCCGGCAACTAATTTGCAAAAAGTTGAGTGGCTCCTAGAGACAATGTTTACATCCTCTCGATTCTATAACGGTCTATGCTTTCTTACAACGTGATAATACCGAGTGTTGCGTTTGCCACGTAAAATACCCACATCTAGTGAATTTTTAGGCCCGCCGGAAATTAATTTGCATAAAGTAGCACTCTTAAAGAAACGATTTATGTCCACTGGTTTTCTGACGCCTTATTCTACTTTCGTACTTTACCTTAGCCAATGTTGTTGTTTCCAAAGTAACATATTCAGATCAGAAAGTGGGCTGTCAATCCCAGCTCAAATTTCCGCGCGAACGACCCCGCATTCTTGCCCTGACTCACCCAGCCCAAATCGATCCCAAAACGAGCCCAACCCTGCACATTCCGCATTCCACACCGATTCACGCCAAACCACCCATACCTAAAGGGATTTTTTATCTAGAAATTGTTTATTCTTTGAAAGCAATCTTTTAAAATGGATGATAAATCTACTAACAAAAAAGTTTTTAGAAGCCGTTGTTGCTCAGCAGAAGTTAACACTTGATTTTTATGCTTTTTTTCACTACCGTATGCTTCGAACTATTTTTTAAACCCCACGTCATTTCAGTGACCAAGAAAATCGAAAAAATTAGTTAGAAATGAGCGACGGTGCCCCACCAGAGCCCGTGATGGAGGTGCCCCCACCAACCGAAATCAAAGTCCTCGAGACCGCCGATGATATCCAGGTATCGAAAAAGCAACAAAAGTCAGACACAAAATGTTTTTAGCACCGCCGTAGCGAAGTTCTCTCCCACTACAGCCAATTCAAAGAATATTCTAAAGTGAAGAGGGACCGCTTGGAGGAGGCCCGCCAATACCAGTATTTCAAAAGGTAGTTTATCGAATTCCATTCCCGATTTTACCCACATTTTCAGAGATGCTGACGAATTGGAAGTTTGGATTCTCGAAAAACTGCAGACCGCTCAAGAAGAGAGCTTCAGAGATCCAACCAACCTTCAGGTGCTTTTTTTATGTTTTTTTTGTGTGCTGCATTCTCATGCGCTGACCCACTCTCGGGCTGTCAATTCACATTCCCCACCCGTTTCATATCAATCCTCATCGTCCCGTTTATCAGCGCGCGTAATCTTTCTCCTGGAAACAAGGTCATCGATCTTGACCATCCCCAAATGTCTCTCGGATTGGCGATGTATAGCCAAAGACCGGAGAACTTACTAATCTAAGCGAAACTAGTTCCAAGTCCCAAGCGGCAAAAGTGGGCCCTCCACGTTTCGACACTCGAACGCTTCCCTTTACACTCTTCGCCCGTGAGAGCGGAACTTGAGAAGCCTGTTAAACATTGTTTGTTCGGAAATTTTGCAAGGAACCTTCCAGTATGCCTCATCTGGCGAGAAACCCAAAATTCAGTAGCCCCTTAATTGATTGGGGCGGTTTGGGGCGAGGAGGCAGCTTCCGAATTCCCTTTGGGGAGGAAGTGGTATACGGTGACTCCAAAAGGGAAAAGAACCCCGCCGCCAGCCACCCAACAGCGCCCTAAAAAATGAATTCTTATCTCCCCCCACATTCCCAATCCAAAGTCCCTAGCGTGGAATTCCGTGACTCACTGACGTTGACCGGGGATCAACAAAATTTGAGGCTATCCTAATTAAAATTAAAATCAGGATTAATTCATTAAATTTCAGGCCAAAATCCAAAAGCATGAAGCGTTCAAAGCCGAAGTGCAAGCTCATTCGAAGACTATTGTCACCCTTGATAAGACCGGAACCGATATGATCAAGCATGGTCATTTTGCTTCTAATGAGATCAGGGTAAGTTTTGAGGGAACTTGTTAAGAATTGGTTGATTTATAGAAGCGACTAGATGAATTGCATGCCCTCTGGGATAAGCTCCAGTGGCATCTGCAGCAGAAGGGACTCAAGCTTGACCAAGCCCTCAAGCTCCTCCAGTTCACTCGTCAGTGCGATGAGGTAAATAGCGATCAATTTTCAATCAATGTTTTATTTAGGTTCTCCGCTGGATCCGTGACAAGGAGACCTTTGTCACATCAGAAGACCTTGGAATGGATCTGGAGCACGTTGAAGTGCTGCAGCGGAAGTTCGAGGATTTCCTCAAGGACCTGCAAAACCACCAATACCGCATCGGCGAGATCAACCAGGCCGCCACTAAACTCGTCGAAGAAGGGCACACCGAGCATGACCAGATCTACAAGAAACGCGATGAGGTATGGAAAATATTACTGATCGGTAATGTAAGTTTCAGGTCAACGATGCTTGGCATAAGCTGAACACCCTGGCCGCCACACGCCGGGAGGGACTATTCGGAGCCCAGCAAGTGCAGCGCTTCAACCGTGATGCCGATGAGACGCTTGCCTGGATTGCCGAGAAGGACTTGGCTTTGTCTTCTAATGACTACGGTTGGTCCATTCACATCAGAATCCTTCCCTAAAAAACTAAAAACTGGTTAACATCTATATTTTAGGCCGTGACCTGAACAACGTGCAAGCGCTGCTCCGTAAGCACGAAGGTACAGAACGCGACCTGGCAGCTCTGGAAGCCAAGATGAAACAACTCGAGACCGACCAACAACGTCTCTGTGAAACACACCCTGATCACGCCGATGCCATCCAGGTATTTGAAACCAACCAAGTAAACACAATAATTTTTAGGCGAAAATGGACGAAGCGAAGAGCCAATGGAATGCTCTCCAACGTAAGGCCGCGGAACGCAAGGCCGGCCTCGAGCGATCGCACATGATCCACCGCTTCCTTGCCGACTATAGGGATCTGACCTCATGGATCAGTGACATGAAGGCCATCATCTCCGCTGACGAGCTGGCCAAGGATGTCGCTGGCGCCGAAGCCCTACTCGAGGTTCACTCCGAACATCAGGGAGAAATCAAGGCCCGCGAAGACAGCTTCAACCAAGCTGCCGAGGCTGGCCAGAAGCTCCTTGATGACGGGGTTCCAGAATCTGCTGACATCCGCGAGAAGCTGGAAAGTCTCGCCAAGGAAAAGGCCGCTCTGCTTGCCCTCTGGGAAGAGCGTCGCATCCTCTATGAGCAGTGCATGGATCTGCAGCTCTTCTACCGCGACACCGATCAGGCTGAGACCTGGATGAACAAGCAGGAAGCCTTCTTGGCCAACGAAGATCTCGGAGATTCCCTTGACTCTGTTGAGTCGTTGCTGAAGAAGCACGAAGACTTCGAGAAGAGCTTGGCGGCTCAAGAGGAGAAGATCAACGCCCTTGACGAGTTCGCCTCAAAGCTCATCCAGGGACAGCACTACGCTGCCGATGATGTCGCCCGCAGGCGCAAGGCCCTTCTCGATCGCCGTCGTCATCTGATGGATCGTGCTGCTGAGCGTCGTCGCAATCTGGAGGAAAGCTACCGTCGCCAAACCTTTGATCGTGACTGCGATGAGATGGTTTCCTGGATTACCGAGAAGCTGAAAACAGCCCGCGATGATTCTTACCTCGACCCGACCAACATTCGTGGAAAGCTCCAAAAGCACATTAACTTCGAGCAAGAGCTTAAGGCCAACCGCAATCGACTTGATGAAATCAATGCGACCGGAGATCAAATCATCCGCTCTGGTCACTATGCTGCCGACCATGTCCGCGATCGCCTTCGTGATGTCGATTCTCTCTGGAATGAGCTTGTCGATGCTTCTACCAAGAAGGCTGCCAAGCTCCGTGAAGCCAGTGATGAACAGCAATTCAACCGCAACCTGGAGGACTTTGAGCTTTGGCTGGGGGAACAGGAAGGCCAGGCTGCTTCCGAAGATTACGGCAAGGACTTGGTGTCTGTTCAGAACTTGCAAAAGAAGAACGCTCTGCAGAGCTCTGACTACCAGGCTCACAAGGATCGCATGGACGATATCCGCAACCAGGCTGGACGCTTCGAGCAAGAGGAGCACTTCAATGCTCCGGTTATCCTCCGCAAATATGAGGCCCTCCAGGGACGCTTTGATTCACTCCAGGAGCCTCTGGTCAAGCGCCAGAACAAGCTTCAGGAGTCCCTGCAAGGCAACCAGCTGTTCCGTGACATCGAGGATGAGTTGGCCTGGATCAGGGAGAAGGAGCAGGTAGCTGCCTCAACTAACCGTGGCCGGGACTTGATCGGAGTGCAGAACCTCATCAAGAAGCACCAAGCTCTCGTGGCCGAGGTTGCCAACCACGAGCCACAGGTCGAGAACGTTGCCAAGGCGGCCGAGGAGATGATTGCGCAGGGTCATTTCTTGGCCCCAGAAATCCGCGATAAGCTGGCCCAGCTCCGTGACAACTGGCGTGCACTGAAGAACAAGGCTGACAAGCGCCGTGGCGAGCTCAACGACTCACTCCAGGTAAATTTTGTTGAAGTTGTCGATAATATTTTGTCTAGTCACAGGAATCCGAAATTTCCGTAAGAAATCATATTAAAAAACAGTGATCGGCATGACCGGAAAGAATGCATTAGGAACTAGCCTTCTCCTCTAAAATTTGTTAGTTCTGTTTTAATTTGCGTTTTTTAGGCCCATCAATACCTAGCCGATGCCAATGAGGCTGAGGCTTGGATGGGCGAGAAAGAACCAATCGTTGGAAGCACCGATTATGGAAAGGATGAAGACTCGGCGGAAGCTTTGCTCAAGGTAAGACTAAATAGCCGTCTAACAAACCGTATTTTTTAGAAACACCGCGCTCTTCTCTCCGACCTCGAGGCCTTCAAGGGCACCATTGATGATCTGAGGAAGCAGGCTGCCGGATGCAAATATCAGGAACAACCTGTTGGGGCTCTTGGTAAGAGCTGAAAATTTTTATTAAGGCTTTTTCTTAGGCCGTGACTGCGTCATCGCTCTGTACGACTACCAAGAGAAGTCGCCTCGTGAGGTGTCGATGAAGAAGGGAGATGTTCTCACCCTTCTCAACGCCTCCAACAAGGATTGGTGGAAGGTCGAAGTCAACGACCGCCAAGGATTCGTCCCGGCTGCCTACGTCCGCAAGATGGATGCCGCCACTGCCCAAGCTCACTCTCAGCAACACGTAAGAAACAACAAAACAGCAATAATTACCCCTCAATTTCAGGTCAATTCCATTGGTGGAAAGCAAAACGAGATTGAAGATCGCTACAACCGACTTCAAATGCTTGGAGAGGCGCGCAAGAGGTAATCTACATTTCAAATAATTCTCTTCAATATCGAGATTTTTAGGAAGCTCGAAGAAGCCTGTAAAGGATATCAACTCCTCCGTGAAGCCAACGACATGGCCGAATGGATCCGAAGCCGCGTAAGTCTTCTTTCAGCTGTCACCATCTTTCGTTTCCTTATTTTCATCACGGCTAACCGGCCTATTTTCAGATTTGTATACCAGAAGTAAGTTGTCCAAAGGGCCCCCCGGTCGCATAACCCCGACCGCAAGCTTATTGTGTTTTACACTCGTCCCACATTTAGTCCAGTTTCGACTTTTTTATTAATCTTCAAATCCCCTCCTACTGCCCGTTTCTAAAAGTTGTGTCGAGAAAGTGGTGAAGAATGTGGTTGATGGAGGCAAATTTGATGATATTTTTTTATGATTTTAGGAGAACATGGCTACGCAGCAAGACATTGGACTCGACCTCGAGCAGGTTGTCGTCCAACAGAAGAAGTTCGATGACTTCAAGGCTGATATGAAGGCCCATGAGGTAAAAATAAAATTAAGGAATTTTTATATCAATTTCATTAGGTTCGCCTCGCTGAGATGAACCAGATTGCCACAGCCCTGACGTCGGTTGGCCAGACTGAGACTGCTGTCCGAATCCGTCAGCAAATCGAAGACCTCAATGCTCGGTAAGTAGCGTACCAATAGAAAACTCATCAATATGACGCAACGTCACGTACCAAGTTACCACCATTATTTCAGCTGGCGCGCTCTGGAAGAACAAGCCGAACAGCGTGAACAACAACTCGGTTCCGCACACGAAGTTCAACGATTCCACCGTGATGTTGACGAGACCCGTGACTGGATCCAAGAGAAGGACGATGCTCTCCGCTCGGAGGACTTCGGTCGTGATCTTCGCTCCGTCCAGGCTCTCCAGAGAAAGCACGAGGGAGTCGAGCGTGACCTTGCTGCCCTCGGTGACAAGATCAAGAGCCTCGACGAGAAGGCTAACCGCCTCCGCCAGAGCCATCCCGAAGCCGCTGAACAGATCTTTGACCTGCAGCGCGAGCTGACCGAACAGTGGAACGACCTGACCAAGAAGGCCAACTCCCGTCGCGAGAAACTCTTGGAGTCGTATGACTACCAGCGATTCCTCACTGACTACCGTGATCTGATGCAATGGATCCAAACCCAGACTGGACTTGTGTCCAGCCAGGAATTGGCGAACGATGTCACTGGAGCCGAGGCTCTCCTTGAACGCCATCAAGAGTACCGTACTGAAATCGATGCCCGAGCTGCCACCTTCAAGGCTTTCGATCAGTTCGCCCGACAGCTTCTGAACAACCAGCATTTCCACAAGGAAGATATCGCTCTCCGCCAACAGGAGGTGAACGATGCCTGCCGAAAGATGGAAGAGGCTTGGATTGCTCGCCGTCATACCCTTGACCAATGCCTTGACCTCCAGCTCTTCTTGCGCGATTGCGAACAAGCCGATTCCTGGATGAGCGCTCGCGAAGCTTTCTTGAATGCTGAAGAAAACGCTGGTGACAACGTTGAGTCGTTGATCAAGAAGCACGAAGACTTCAACAAAGCCATTAACTCCCAGCAAGACAAGATCCAGCAATTGCGTACCTTTGCTGATCGTCTCATCAAGGGTGATCACTACGACAAGGATGGCATCGCTGACAAGCGCGATCAAATCCTTGACCGTTGGGAGCGACTCAGGACCCAACTCGTTGAGAAGAGGAGCAAGCTTGGAGAAAGCCAGACTTTGCAACAATTCTCGCGTGATGCCGATGAAATCGAGAACTGGATCGCGGAGAAGTTCCAAGTCGCCCAGGAGGCCGACTATTGCGATCCGATCAACATCCAGCAGAAGCACCAGAAACAACAGGCATTCGAAGCCGAACTGGCCGCCAACGCCGACAGGATCTCTTCGCTTATCCATGCTGGTCAAAACCTGATCGATGGAGCGAAGTGCGCTGGAGGTGAAGATGCCGTTGGAGAGCGCCTCAAGGGCATCAATGACCAATGGGAACTGCTTGTCCGTACCACCCATGACAAGAGCTACCGTCTCAGGGAGGCCAACAAGCAGAAATCCTTCATGGCAGCCGTCAAGGATCTGGAGTTCTGGTTGGGTGAGGTCGAGATTCTGCTCGGAAGCGAGGACTATGGAAAAGACTTGCCTTCGGTCGAGAATCTTCTGAAGAAGCACCAACTGTTGGAGGCTGATGTTGCTTCCCACCAGGATCGTGTCAACGAGATGAACCAACAAGCCGATTCGCTTCTCCAGAGCGATCAATTCTCCAACCAACAGATCGATGAGCGTCGCCGTGCCATCAATGAACGCTACGATCGCGTGAATGCTCTAGCCAAGGAGAGACGCGACAAGTTGAACAAGGCCCTCAACATGCACCAATTCTTCCGTGATATCGATGATGAAGAGTCGTGGATCAAGGAGAAAAAGCTGCTCGTCAGCTCTGATGACTATGGACGTGACCTTCAAGGAGTCCAGAACCTCCGAAGGAAGCATAAGCGTATTGACAACGAGTTGGCTTCCCATGAACCAATGGTCGAGCAGGTGCGCACTCGTGGAGTGGAGCTTCTCCGTTCTGCCGGTGACCTCGGTGGTGATGAGATCAAGAAGAGAATGGCTGATATGGAAGCCCAATGGAACCATATGCGTGAGCTGACCGGAAAACGCCAGCAGCGCCTCAACGAGAGCGAGGAGTTCCAAGACTTCCTTGGCAAAGTCGAAGAGGAGGAGGCATGGATGAATGAGCGTCAGCAAATTCTTGCCTCCCCCAATGTTGGCGAAAACATGGCCGCCGTCCAGGGCTTGTTAAAGAAGCACAAGACCTTTGAGATTGATCTCCAGCTTCATAAGCAACGTGTCGCCGAACTATGCAAGCAAGGCGATGAACTGATGGCTCGTGGAAATCATCATGCTCCGCATATCAAGCAGAGGTAATTCAATTCGTAACTTATCCAATACTATTTGGTATTTAGATGCGAGCAGTTGAACAACCGTCTGGCCGAGATCTCCGTCCTTGCCGAGCGTCGTCTCCAGAAGCTGAACGACAACTATGCTTACATGCAATTTGTGTGGAAGTGTGATGTTGTTGAAGGATGGATCGCTGATAAGGAGGTGTTGGTTCGGTGAGTTATCTGCTCCCTAGTTTTAATTTTTATGATCTGCATCTTTCAAAATTTTCTTTTTAGCTCTGACGATTACGGCCGTGATCTCTCTTCTGTGCAAATCCTTCTCAACAAGCACGATGCTTTCGAGACTGGATTGAACAACTTTGAGCACGACGGAATCCAGCGGTGCACTGAACTGAGGGATCAGCTTATTGCCAACAAGCATCACCAGGTAAATTCACAAAACAGGAATAAATACCCAATTTTAGACGCCTGACATCAACAAGCGTTACGACAATGTCCTGACCCGCTGGAAGCAATTGCTCGCCAATTCCGAAGGACGACGCACCAAGCTCCTCCGAATGCAAGACCAATTCAAGCAAATCGAGGAGCTGTACCTCACCTTCGCCAAGAAGGCTTCCACCTTCAACTCATGGTTCGAGAACGCCGAGGAGGACTTGACCGATCCTGTCCGTTGCAACTCCCTCGAAGAAATTGTCGCCCTTCGTCAGGCTCACGATGAATTCCAAGCCTCGCTCTCATCGGCTGAGGAAGACTTCCGTCAGCTCCAGTCTTTGGATCGCCAAATCAAATCCTTCGGCGTTGGCCCGAACCCTTACACCTGGTTCACAATGGATGCCCTCGAGGAGACGTGGAGGAACTTGCAGAAGATTATCAAGGAGCGTGAAGTTGAGCTGGGCCGTGAACGCGCCCGCCAGGAGGAGAACGACCGTCTCCGCCGCGACTTTGCCCGCCTTGCCAACGCTTTCCACAACTGGCTGACGCAGACCCGCCAAGAGATGATGGAGGCTGGTGGAACACTCGAGGAGCAGCTCGAGGTCCTGAAGCGAAAGGCTGCTGACATCAGAGCCAACAAAGCCCAGCTCCGGAAGATTGAGGAACAGGGTGCGATGCTGGAGAGGAATTTGATTTTGGATAACCGGTATGTTAATTGTTAACTGTGACTTAGATTCCGATTTTTAGATACACCGAGCATTCTACCGTCGGTTTGGCGCAGGCTTATGATCAGCTGGAGCAGCTGGCAATGAGGATGCAGCACAACTTGGAGCAACAGATCCAGGCCCGCAACCAGTCCGGCGTTACTGAGGAAGCCCTTCGTGAATTCTCCATGATGTTCAAGCATTTCGACAAGGTTTGTAGATCTTCTAATACCTTGTAATTAGTAAATTAATTGAATAAACCTAGTTTTTATATGATGTAAAGTATCACTTTTTCTTTAGGAGAAGAGCGGCCGACTTGATCACCAACAGTTCAAGTCCTGCCTCCGCGCCCTGGGTTACGATTTGCCGATGGTAGATGAGGGACACCCGGAGCCGGAGTTTAACCGCATTCTGGATATTGTCGACCCGCAAAGGTGATACACCCCAAAAAATGTATGTTAATGCCTATTTTCTACAGAGACGGCTGGGTCAACCTGCAAGAGTACATGGCCTTCATGATCTCCAAGGAAACTGAGAACATCCAATCTTCGGAAGAAATCGAGAGCGCTTTCCGCGCCCTCAGCAAGGAGTTCCGTCCCTACGTTACTGCCGAGGAGCTGTACGCGGTAAGTCTATACACAAAATTAGTATTAAAGGGCTATCAACATTCAAAACACAAGGGCATTTTAACCCAATTTTTTTCAGAACCTGACCCCCGAGCAAGCCGAATTCTGTATCCACCGTATGAAGCCGTACACGGATGCCATTTCCGGCCGCAACATCCCTGGCGGGCTCGACTACGAGCAGTTCGTCCACACCATGTTCCAGAGCTAAATTAGCTGCCTTTCCGTTGTATGCGCTTAATTGATTTGGGGGCAATTCAAATATTCCATTGAGCTTCTACGCTTGCTTCTTGTTTTAAATGATGAATAAAGTTTTTTAATCATTTTGGAGATGTTGGAAATACAGGAGTTTAATGTATCAAGTTGATTAAGCAATAAAACGACAAATTTGATTCAATTATAAATAAATTAATGCTAAATAGCTGTAGCTGGACTCTAAAAATGCGATTTTCGCGTTAGAATTGGAAATCAAGGATTACTTTTCGCAATTTCGATTTTTCAAAATAGATATTATGTAAATAACTGAAGCAGTGATAAAATTTTTTTGGCGCTGTTTAAACAATAATTGATATTCGATACTTGTATAACGACTGTGTCCTGTGTTCTGCTTGATCAAAATACAATAAAAAGACAACCGGTTTATTCATCTCAAAAAAACGTAAATTTCATAAAAAATGAGGCCAACCAGCTACAAATTGCTGCTGAAAGGCATCGGGTGAAGAAAATGAGGCACGAATTGTGGGGGGTCGTTGGGGGCGGGGGGGGGGGAGGGGGGCGGGGGAGGCAAAGTACAGAAGCTGGGCTTATTCAGGGGTCATAACAATTTCTTGGAGGGATCAAAAAATTCTTCATCTCTTTGAATTATTGCAAATTTTTAGAAGTCCGCAGCTTCGAGCAGTAGGGGTTAAAAACTTGTTTTAAAAATGAAACACGGGTCCCGCCGGTTTAAATTCATATACACGCAAGGCCACCAACACAGTTAGAAACCCGCTTGGAGGGGGAAAGGGGGAGGAAAGTCCATAAATTATATAAAAATTGGGCTTAGAAGATCGAGGCAATGAGCATTTGCCAGATGGGCCGCATCCAGATGATGTAGTGGAGGTAGTAGGCGCCGGCCCAGAACAGCTAAAAATAGAAATATTAAAGATACTTTCAATAGGTCAAAGTAGAAAATATAATATAATTTTCGATTAAGTTACCTGAGCCTTCAACATCGTCCATCCATTCACATTTACCACACCGCGCCGCGCACCCGGGAAATGGCCGGTACGGTAGAACTCGTCGAGAAGTTCGTTTTTCTTTTGGTAGCTGAAAATTAATCATATGTCTTTGTTTGTTTTTCTATTTTAAGTGTTTAGACTACAGAATAACCTAGTTATCTATATATTCAAACGAAAAAATTTCACACCGTTCATATAAAAATTCCTGCAACCGCTCCTCATCCGCCCAAGCCGGATCAACCGGGATCACCTCGTGGTGGATGGCGATAGATGGGTCGTTATTAGGGAAATCCCCCATGATGGCCGACGCTGGAAATAGACGCTAGAAATTGAAGACGCACATCTTTTCCTCTGCTTTGTGCCCCGAGCACAAACCACAACCCCTGCACCCCCGTTTGCGCCCTGCTGGGCCCCCAACCCCCTCGACCAAACCCCAACTCCACTCGGGTCTTGCCTCATTCAAACGAGCCTTCATCTGTCCCCGGCCCTCATTCCTTCTCATTTTCAAATATTTTCCTTGATAATCAGATTAATTTTTCTTTTTAGAATCCCTAGGCCCAAAAAGTTAAAGCCATGAGTGCTGGAAAGCAAGTTTTTGTTGTTGGTGGAAGTGGGATGACTGGCAAAAAGATTGTCGAGGTTTGTTAAGTTGCTTATTGCATTCTCACTTTTATTTATCTTTAGCTACTATGCGAAAATCCGGCCTTTTCCCGCATTGTCCTCTTCGGACGCCGTACAATCAATTTGCCATCCGCGCCCCCGCATTTGGTATCGTGTATCAACGTAAAAAATTAATATCAAAGCGTTTAGGAGCAGAAAATCGTGGATTTTGATAAGCTATCTGACAACCAGGGTCTTTTCTCTGGTTTTGATGTTGGTGTGTGTGCACTGGGCAGCACATTGAAAGGCTCGACAAGGGTAATAACTCGTCTTAGGGCCCGAAAACCTAGTTTGAAGGAAATCTACAAGAAAGTTGATTACGATTATGTGGTTGCTACCGCAAAAATGGCCAAAAACTGCGATGTGAAGACGTTTTGCCTGCTTTCGGCTTCCAGCGCGGATGAGAAAAGCCATTTCTACTATATTAAGATCAAGGCAAGTTTGGATTTTTTAGATTCTATTGATTGTTTTAGGGAGAGACTGAAAAGGCTGTAACAGCTGAGGGATTCGAAAAGCTTATAATTGCTAAACCACCGATGATTTTAGGAGATCGAGAAAAGCCGAGTCTTGGCTATACGCTTCTTACAGTAGGTCAAATCTCAAAACCATTAAACGGAATATAATTACAGAACCTTCTTAAACCTACAATGTACTTCACAGCGCGACTACAAATCCAGGATACCGATATTGCTAAGGTTAGGTTCGAAGCTATAAATCAATTTAATCTTAGGCTCTCATCACCACATCTCTAAACAATTCTAAAAAAGGAACAATCCCCCTCGACGCTACTCAAATGAAAAAGATTGCCGATGGCTATAATAATTAACTTTGAATTTTAAATTGTTAATTCTTACCCAAATCCATGACGGTGCCTTTCGGGTATCCAAGCGTAGCGTCAATGATGTACTTGATCGGCTCGCCCTCACCAATTCGGGCAACCGATGGATTTTCTAAAGTATATTTTGCATATCTGTACTCGAGCTTATTTCCTATATCACCAATTAATAAATATCGACAAATTTACCTTTCGAAGGTGCCAAAACTTCCATAACAGCATGAGCAGCTCCTGTCCTAGGATACGCACAGTGTTGCAGCGGTTTCAATCCCATTTTCTTCGCAAAAGCAGCCGCACTCTCGCGAATCAAGTAGAACCTCGAACCCTCGGGGTACATTACGACCCAGCTGAACCCATATTTCTAGATTACCGCCAAAAAACTACCTGTAGTTGTGCCTGGCGAAGTACTTTTTCAAGTGCTCCTTGAAGGTCTTTAGCAGTTTAATGCGCTGAAAAAAAGTTAGATAAAAATAAACCGTTATTTTCTACCTGATTTAAACCGCCGTTGACAAAGAAATTTCCATGCAAGATCCACATGGCGCCTAGCGGGGTGAATTTCCAAATATTGTAGATGACCCACATCCACTAAAAGACCAATTATATTTTTAGTGGATTCGGAATTAAATTGAATGTAATTAAATACTTACACTGCCAGAAACATTTCCACAAGTGTGCAGCGCGGTCATCACAATAAAATGATCGATGAGACCAAGGTGGTTGGCAAGGTAAAGGCATTTGTCGTTCACGTAATTCGCGACGTTTGTCCCGTATTCGCGGACTAAAATTAGATACAAGTTTTAACTAAAATTTTAAAACCCACTTTCCAGTCCGCAGTAATAAGCCGTGGTTACCCAGTGGTCGTTGACAAGCTTGCAGAGCGCGTTCTCCAGCTTGTTGAATAGTTTCATACTGAAATTTGCATAACTAGGGATGAGTTCGCAAAACTTACTTAATAAACATCAACGGCATTAAAATGAGGACACATGTGGTAAAGCAGGCGATCGGCACGACAAAGGTTGTCATCACAAAGAAGTAGGTTGCACCTAAAATTTGATTATTTTAGTTTTATCAGAGAATTTTTTACCAATAATGCATATACACCGCCTAAAGTCGAGGACCTGTGACGCGGGCATGTCGTCGATGCTCTGAAAAAAAGGAATTAGATGCTTTGGAATTAGAAAAGTATCTATACTTGATATTTCAGTGTCGATTTTATCGATAGATCAATATGACGTGTGTATATAAAATGGCTACTATGATCCACAAATGCGAATGGCCGTTTCGATTGATTCACCGAGTCGAACCCCCCAAGGAACACAGCTGCATTAATGTTTTGCCTTCCCGGGACATTCATCGCTTCCTCTCTTCTTTGCTTTTTGGCTCGGCCACTCACAGTTTCCTTGCCCTTTCACGTCTTTTTGTCGCGCATGCTATTCAGCATAGGAAGCGACCTTTTCGAGGAATTCCAAGGCTGGCGGTATTTGGATTTGGCAAGTAAAGCCAGTGATAAGGATTTTGCAATTTTTTATATCCTCTTATATACAAAAATAGTTTATCCTTTGTCAGCTACTTCCGTCAGTAGAATTGACTCATAAAGGATTAGGGGAAGAATTTTATGGAATGTACGATACAGCATTGGGCACGAAATGGCGCAAAGTGGACTGGCGGCCTATCAGATTCGTAAAAAGGAGGGCTTTTCGACAATCAGACCCAAGTTTTTTACTTATAACTATAGCTCGCTAAAAGAGACAGAAATTTAGGTTTTCCATTTTTTCCTGTGAAATTTCGGTATTAATTGACTATGAAAATCAGCCCCTTTAGACTCACGTCCTTTTCTATTTCCCAAAAACCCTTACCAATTTTGCATCCACGTGCACACCACCGTCTGCCGGGCTGATCGCCGCTCCCAGCATCTTTTTACCCTAAATTGGAAGAATCCTCTTAAAACCGCCGAATGGCATGATGACAAACACTTGAAGCCATTGCCTGAGAACCGGAGGAGCACCAGAACCAAGAGCAGGGTGAAATGTGAGCAGCGATTCAATGCAATCGCCCGTGTGAGGGGCAAGAAACCGGCAAAAAAACTTTGAATAACACGATCCGGGGGAATAAAGGTCAGAAAGTGCATCACTTTCAGTGGGCCGAAGTTCGAAAGCTCAGCACCCGGTCGGTCGGGCCCGATAAATCGGCGTGCGAGCAGCTGTTATTTATGTACAAAGAAGGGTCCGCTGGGCGCCAAATGACTATCATTAATCTAGAGCTTATCGAGGGGAGAGTATCGATCGATTTTAACTCATGCTAAAAATTAAAATAAATTGGGTTTTGCAATGGCGCCAGTAGGATCAAGCGGTAAGCCAATATGGGCAGAAAACCAAGAAGCAAAGGCTTATAAAGCTTCCGTGGCTTCAGAAATAAGATGGAAATGGAATCGATGAGGGAAGCGTGAAACTCGTCGTGGAAGAAATAGTTTTTTCTGTCGTGACTAGGCGAAATGTCACCAAAATATACATGAAAAGGCGCGACGGAAAAAAATTGAAGGTCCTGATACCTCGGTAAGGCGGCGAAAAATCAAATAAAAAAAATTAAATTACGATTAAACTAGATCGGCATTTTACGCGTACTCTGAAGAATTGGGAGTCGAAAGATAGATAAAGTGCAGGGATTTTTAACGAGATTTTTTAACGGGGATTCTTCGAAAGGACTTACGTTTTTTCCGAATATTTAGAAAGTCGAACGCTGTGTAGCAAAGTACAAATACCCTCCTCAAGCCAAAACGATATTCACACGATTCTGTCAACAAATCAAGTGCACGTGCACTAGCCATGGATCCTTCCTCCCCCACCAAAAGTTTCGCCCCTCATAAGCCACAATTGGTTATGTTTTAAAACACGTTGTCCCCCCTTGGCAGCTGTTTGGTGAGTCACATGCACTAGGAGGAGATTCGGCATGGCTGCCGCTACCGCGGGGCTTTGTTGCAAAGAAAATTCGCCGTGTTCTGTCGAAACGCGAGCCGACGGCGGTATCCTAGCGAGACCCTTCCCTTCCGTCTCCGCCGCCAAGGGCTTACTGCCCAGCCGACCGGGCGGCAAAAACGAGTTATGGAGTCGAATGGGGGGCAAGAATAGCAGAAGCCGTATCGATTTCATAGCGTAAGAATTGCTATGAATATACAGGATATCCATCATGCTAATCAAATTGAAGAGGCGACATTTCAGAACAGATTTGAGTGCAAAATAGAAAATTTAGAAAACATCGAATTAGAGATGAACAGGTTTGTATAGGATGCCGCAAAAAAACTGCCACCGGTTCGCATGAAGCTTGTATTGTGTATGATTTTACGCTATTTAAAGATTTCAAAATGTAGATGAAAAAGAGAAGATGAAAATATATATGAAAAAAGAGACCTGGCTCAGAAGATGTTTCTTCTGAGCTAGGTTGAAATTAGGTTGATATGAGGTTGATATTATTAGGTTCTCACTCGAAGCATATACACTATAGATTATTCAAATACCGCCTAAACCTTACCACTATAATCTCCAAATATTCACGAAAACACCCCATCCCCCTGGGGCGATGCATACAAGATTATAGCCACCCTCACCAGAGCCCTCCGCTAGAAAAACACCCCTGGACGAATTCCAAACCACGCGCCAATCTCGCCAATAAAGCCCCGGCAGCACCATCACACCAAAAAAAACGTCAACCCCGATGCCTTCGATAAGCTTCTCTCGATAAGGGGGGATGCTTCCGTGCAGCGCCCCGAGAGCTCAGGGCGGAAGCGAAAAACACACTAGCCATCGGTCAAGGACAAGCGAACGGATGAGGAGCTGGGTGGGGGAGAGCTCCCTGATACTAACACCCAAATGGGAGTTTTGATCAGCGAAGAGGAAGACCGTAAAAAGCAAAAACCAGCGACCGTGCAGAGGTGACAAAGTACAGACTGGGGAAGGGTGTGATAGCCGACACAACGCTTTGCATCGACTCGCAGTTATGCGGACAAATTGGGAAGAGGATACTCGAGTTGAAGTAATAAGTAATGAGAGGAGAAGTGGGGCTGAAAAGTGGTGTATTGCTGCTGTGAAAGGGCAGTCCCAGGCTGGGAAAACACGGGGGTTGGGGCTAAACGACCGCGTAAGGGGGTAATCTAGCCTCAGGAGATGATCAGGTTGGAGAAAAAGGCGGGAGTGTACTTTGGGCGCGCGCGGGCAGATGATTGGAAGGGAAAGGAAAAAGAGATAGCAGAAAAAAATAGAGGGAGCAAGGAAATTCGGAATTTTTCCAGCGAGAGAGACGCAACAAGTCATTAGAAAAATCTGGCATTCAAATGACGCCTTTTCCTTTAAAGAAAATCGTAAGGAAAATCGAGCTAGAAAAACTAAATGGTATGCCCCGGAATGCTCTTTAAACGTACTAACAAGTCAGTTTTTTGCTTGAATTTTCACCGATCTAATAATCCGAACGCAGCTATTTACGTTCCAAACCCCTTAACGAAGCTATTGCCGGGCGGAATACGTAGGCGAAAAATCAAAACAGCGAGAAAAAGAGAAACAAAAGAATTGAAGACTGAAATTGGAACAAAGAATTTGGGAAAATTAGCCTAGATTGCGTACTAATTATCTTTGAGCTAACACGCTCTGCAGGTACAAATTTTCTTAATTTTTTTTGTATAATTTTTAAAAGCCGGGGCCCCTAAAATATTTTCCGATTACTGCCTGACCCTTAGCGTAACCCTTACCTAACCTCCCCACCAAAAAGAGGTCAGCGCCAAAAAACCGTGGTTTACGTGCTGAATGGGTGAAACTCGAGGGCCGTGGGGTAGGCGGGGGAGGACCATCTGTTGTCGGCCAACCGATCAACCTTTCTTTCTCACCCCCCTCTCCATCTCAATCACACTCTCCCCTCTTCCTCTCTTACTTTCACTCAACCATTCTCACATTGTCCCTCCGTGGCCAATAGATTGTCCCTCCCCTCCCATCTGTTTAATGCAAGAGGTCCAAAGTCCCCCTTATCAGCCCATAGAGTTCAAATTATCGGTGGCAAGTGAACGCGGGAAAACGGCCCAAATATTCCAGGAGTTGATAATCCCCGATCACCTGTATTTGGCAGCTGTTTTTTGGTGGATTATAAATGCCGGGAGAGGCCATAAAATTAGGATTTGATAAGGAATTTCTGCGAATCTTTTGAAAAAACGTAAAACTTTGAAACGATCAATGGGAGAAGAGTGGACAATTTTTGGCGTTCTGAACAATGGGCAAGCGCATTTAGTTGCTAAGGGGTGGCTTGTCGGGGTTGCCGGACAATTAGTTCATCAAATAGAGGGAGAGGAGGTCAGAACAGAAAGGTAAATATTTGGTAAAAAATTGTGGAGATAATGATGATTTATTGCCTGTAAATTGGTAGTAAGCAAAGCTGGCAATTCTATCGAAATTTTTAAGGTAGAATCTTTTTACGGTCTAGAAATTTAAGAAATGCATCGAATTGAGCCGAGTCAGAAAAGTTATGACTTCCATTTAAAAAAAAATCATAGCGAAGTGGAACTAAGAAATCTTAATAAAAATCAAGCGATCTCGAGAAGCTCAAATCTAAAAAAATTCCTCGAATCGAGTAGGGTAATCAAAATGATGACTTGAATTTGAAGAAAATTCGTAGCGAGGAAGGACCAACAATTTCTAATTAAAAATAACAAGCTTTTAGGGGCGAAAAAACCCTAAAACCACAAAATTCATTAAATAAAACTGGTTTAGCACAAACAGGCAATTACAAAATGGATGGAGTGACCGCCCATAATTTCAGGAAGATTGCCAGCTAAAGAAAGCCAATAATTCCAGTATAAGTATTAGTATTAGCATTTCAGGGCCAAAAAACCAATGGAATGTTCAAATAAACTTCGGAATTCAAAGCCAACCCAAAAACAAAACTTTTCAAGCGTAAAAAAGCTTCCCACCGCAAAGGCGATATTTTTTCCGGATGCCGCCTAAAGGAAATGAGATAGACCGTTATTTATGTGCATGCACCGCGCCGGCGGGGGTATAGTTTTTCGGGTGCGGGGTATACATTTTGCTAGGAGTAGCACAAGGTTAGGGAAGACACGCAGAGTGGCCCCCGCCGCAGGGCAAGAGACCCGACCGCCGTGAATCTAATGAAGGCTACCCTCAACAGCAGAGCAGAAGCCCCCCAAACCAACAACCCATCCCCCAACATCCGCCCCCGCAAAGTTCCAAAAACGGCTGATGCTCGCTTTTTTGAAGGGCCCCCACATCCCTCAAATACCGGAACGCTCAACAAAATAGGGCCAGTTAGCTCGCGCCTTTTGGCCACAATAACATGGATCTTGGCAGAAAAGACAAAATAAGAGGCTGACTATTTTTTAGGGTTAAAGCACACGTTCAGGGAGGGGCCGTGTACTCGTCCCAACGTGTACACCCTATGTACCCTCCCGAGCGGGGGGCCCGGGTTCGACCCCCGACCGCGGCAAAAATCTTTGCTTTTTTCCAAAAAACGTCCCTGAACGTGCCCTTTAAGGCTACCGGATCTTTCTCTAATATGCCCCCGGGGGTTTCGTTTTGTTAAGCACTAGGTGGTATTAGCGGGCAAGAGGTGATGTTTTCTGTTCGACCAAAATCTGGAAATCCGAGGGCAAGGCTGCCCAATTTTGCGCAAATTCATCCATTTTAGTATTTATAAAGTTTTTAAAACCAATAAAGATCATAATTTAAAACTTCAGCAGCTTAACGTGTGAAGGCTTTTTATAGACACTAAAAGTAATTCCGGCAGTAAAAAAATTCTATCGGAGGTAATATTAAAGGATTGATCTATTTTTTCAATCAGGGAATATATATTCTGAACTAAAAATGATGGTATATAAATTTAGAAAAATTCATCATATCCTAGAGAATTTATCAATAAGGAATACGCTAATAGAATTACTAAAACATGAATTTCTTCTACAATAACCAACTAGAGAGATTGACCCATTGACCTCACATGTTACAAGCAGTCAAAAGTAATCGCTTCCGGATTAAATCTTTTTGGCGTGTAACCGAACGAAATGAACTGCGATACCTCTGGTTTCCCCGATTGGCTGCTAGCATAGAGTGTGTAGGCCCGGAAACACAAATGATAAGCCCCCCGCCCCGCCAACAATCACACCATCGTGCAACCATCAGCAGCTCCTGCCACCCTCAAATATCCAAAACATAAAAAAGCGCTACAAAAATTTTTGTATATAATTACTGTCGAAAGTCTGACAACTTAAAAAAAACTAAAATCTTTATACTTGGTTTCTTGTGACAAGGGGATCACAGTTTGGTGTCGATCTCAAACGCTAAAGCACAGACCCGTGGGCGAAAATCACATGTAAAACTAGGGAATTGACTCGCAGTTGATATGGTAGCCTAGAAGGCAAATATGGAAATTAATAAATATAGAAAATTCAAAGCAACACGCAGAAACAGAGATTCACAACGGAAAAGAGAACAACACGTAACAACTTTAAACAAATGCGATGCCCTCGTATTTATAAGGGCCTTCGATGCTCTCTTCTTCCAATAAGATATTCCCATGAATATCGAAGACAGTAATGTAGCTGCCGACTGGGCGAGCATCCTAGAATCAATTTTGATGAGCAAACATGGGTATTGGTGATAAGGGGGGTAAGGGCTAAATCACCAGCTGTTAGAAATTGGCTGTCACCCTATTTTGAAAGCCCATCATAGCTGAAAAAAAAAGGAAGACTTACCCTTTCTTCGCTCTTCACGGCTATTATAATGTTATCATCGGTTCCGGGCACAAATTGAAAGGCTGAGAATCCGCGATAAGTAGCCTCTTTGCCTACACGAATCATTTGGATATTGGTGAAGTCTTCATTCATCTGGAAAAATAATTAGAATTGATGTAAAGGGTGCCGTTACCGTAAACATAATATTTGCGCCACGGGATTCGTCGGCGGTTTCGTCGTATGGGAGGTTAGAGGCGCGACGGGGGAGGAAAAACCATTTTCGATGGATCGTAGACCATTGGACGGCTTCGTGAATTAGATAGCCTTCTTCAGGATAGCCGAGGTAGGCTTTCATCTGCAAAATCGATATGACATTACTGAATTATTATAACGAACCTGACGATAGATTGGAGCCCAGTTTTGATGCGTAACTTTTCCGTCGAGGTCGATTGTTTTCACCCACATTGGGTAATCGTTCAGCACTTGGCCGGTTGGAGATGTCCATTCTTTACCAAGACCACCAACGTGAAGCATTCCATCCTAAATTAAGAATCTGTTATATGAATCCTAAAATTGGACGTATAGCTCCTTTTCGCTTCCGCACCTTTACCGTCATCCATTCTCCTTTCAAAGGAGCCGTAACATTTCCGGGCCCATTCAACAGCAAGGCAAATGGGATAACTTCATTGCCAACAATCTAAAAAATCACTACAAAATTTCAAATGCTTTTCACCTGATAAACCACACCGGTACGATCGTCGATGGTCAACAACTTCCGGTTAAACACCGCCAGATCGGAAAGCTCCATGGCACGACCGCCATCTTAAGAGTCATATTAAGTATTTTCATTTTGTTCCTTACTAGCTAGTGTAGCCTTCAGTTCAATATCCCGGTCCTGAAGTCCCCATTTCAATGAACATCTCAAATTTGCGGCATCGAACTGAAATTTCTTGATATTAGCTTCCAAAATGAAACTACCCGAAGAGTCCCCTTCTTCAACCAACTCCTCCAATATTTCCCTTCAATAACCGCACTCTCGGTGTCAAGGTCAGTAATGATAGCAATAGAATATTCCATCATACCATCATTGGCTTTCTGGAATGGCGCGTTAGCTACACTAGTGTTCATAATTATAAAGGCAGTCGAATTTTTTGAAAATTCAGAATTTCTAGCGGGTTTCAGGAAAAGCTTTCTTTTGCAGAAAAAACCCCAATTACATCTCAAATTCAAATATCAACTCCATTTTTACATTCTAGGGCGAGCCATTTCTCTGTGAGGCTTTTTGTCGAAAATGGTGTTTGGAAAACGTTCATAATTTTAAAGGCACTTTACGTAAAAAATTCTTAAAATTTGGAAATCGATATCAGGTTGCTAGAAACACTTTCAATAACCCGTGGCAGTAGTATTCCACTTAAACAGATGAAAGAGACTGCTGTCCAAGCACTGATCAAGGATTGCGAGCAATTTTTTCCGCCAAACAAAGAAAGACGCTAAAAACACGCCAGTTCCTGCTCGCCAAGCCTTAATCGCGACGTAGAATTTGTTAAACATAAAGTGCCAGATATTCTCATTGACGTTTAAGCCAGGGGGAATAGGCTGACCGTGTTAACTTGGATTGAGCCGGGAAACGGCGGCGCGACTCGGCGCGGTAGGTGACGCGCCAGCGCGGCCCGTTTCTTGGCCAAAATCGCGTCGAATCCGCATGCAATACCGTATTTGACTGATGTAGCCGAGTTCAGAAAGATGTGATGTTCTAAGGGCTGCGCGGATCCAGTTTACCGGCCGCAAGAAGCCTTCCGGTGCTGATCCGGATAGATCTCCCTATTACTGGCACAACATAACCCCCGTTCTCATCAAAGAAAAAGAAATGGGACAGAGTTACGGTAGCGGTAGCCATTATCGTTCAAAGACGGTTAACCCGTTTATCGTTCAGACTCAAATGCATCGAGACGACAATTGACACTTGCTGCGCCGAGTCGCGCCGCCGTTTCCCGGCTCAATCCAAGTTAACACGGCTTTTGTCGGCCAAAGAAAGACTCGATTCCTCGAACCAGACAAGCTCCGGGTTTGGTGTCGACCCCTTGAAATTGATTTTTGATTTGGTCAGCCTATTCCCCCTGGCTTAAACGTCAATGAGAATATCTGGCACTTTATGTTTAACAAATTCTACGTCGCGATTAAGGCTTGGCGAGCAGGAACTGGCGTGTTTTTAGCGTCTTTCTTTGTTTGGCGGAAAAAATTGCTCGCAATCCTTGATCAGTGCTTGGACAGCAGTCTCTTTCATCTGTTTAAGTGGAATACTACTGCCACGGGTTATTGAAAGTGTTTCTAGCAACCTGATATCGATTTCCAAATTTTAAGAATTTTTTACGTAAAGTGCCTTTAAAATTATGAACGTTTTCCAAACACCATTTTCGACAAAAAGCCTCACAGAGAAATGGCTCGCCCTAGAATGTAAAAATGGAGTTGATATTTGAATTTGAGATGTAATTGGGGTTTTTTCTGCAAAAGAAAGCTTTTCCTGAAACCCGCTAGAAATTCTGAATTTTCAAAAAATTCGACTGCCTTTATAATTATGAACACTAGTGTATAATGAGAGTACTTACAACTGGCATCGATAACGGCGCATCATTATAACTGTTCAACAATTGAAAATTATTGACATTTAACTGCAGTCGAGCCCAAGTGAATAACCCGAAGAAAATGATTAGACCGAGGAGTGCCTGAAATATGAAATCGGATCAATTTTTTAAATTGAAAATATTGGTTTAGTATTTTTCGAAATCTAAAAATTTCTTAACTTATTTTACTGACCATTTCTAGAAAATCGTAGTAGAAAAGAAAGCAAACGGTTTAGGTAGAGCGCGCCGAAATGGCTACGATCCAATCGGAACTTTTCGAGTTTCCTTTCGGCGAGATTGCCATCAAAAGGAAGTGGAAACGACGGAGCACCGGGCGAACATTCCTTCTCCCCAGGTTTTGTCAAGTATCAACCCGATCATCCCCCCACCCGATCCTCCTAGCGAAGAATCGGATCAAAAATCATCAACTGCCGCACACGATGTGCATTTTTTGTATATAATTCGCACATGCTCGCCATCGTAATTAAAGGGCTGGAGAAAGATGGCCAGGCGTCCGTCGGGGTGACGGACCGACGGGGCGCTACTATCTACGGAATTCGTATTCGGAATTCGTAATTTTTATGCAAAGCGCAATTTCGGCGCAGGTCAAAGCGAGAAAGCCGGAAACGACCGGTGTAAGCACGCTAGGGTATTTGATGGCTTTTCGCCGCGCCGGCTCGTTTGGGGCCATGGTGTAGTGGCTAGCACGCTGGACTGTGGGGTGAACCATCGCTGGTTCGACTCCCGCCCGCTGCAAAATTCTTTGCTTTTTCACCAAATGCATCTTTCTCCAGCCCTTTAGGAACGATGCTGCATTCGGAAAGCGAGGGTTTTAATGAATTTGGTGCCGCATGCTAATTAGCGTATTCTTCTTGTCTTGTCAGTTGGCTCATAGAAAATGTAAAAAGGATCATTTATACAAATAAAGTAGCTAGAGAAGCCAGGAGATAAAAATATGAAAGAAGAAATCTAACAGTAATAACGCATTAACACGTTGGTAAGTTTTCTCGTAAATTATCCCACCTTGCGCCTCCACTTTGACTTGTTGGGTAGTAGCCAGGGCTGATGCTGTAGGAAGTTGCGCGAATGAAACGCGCGGCTCAGCTTTGGGCTGAGACTCATGGTAAACCGCTGAAAATAATTATATTTTGTCGTGTATTAATACGACTGCATAAAAAGCGGAAGCTGCTGTGCCTTGAGGGACAATGTGCAAATCCAAAGCCAGAAACTCTTGTTAAAATGAAAAGACAAAGTGAAGCGAAATATAGAATTCCACAAAACTATGCATTGAAGTACAAAAGTCGCGTATTTTTATCAATGAAGATCGCACACTTGATTAAAATTGATCTTTGTTTTGCTATTCTAGAAAATAGTGAAGAAAAAAGCTTTTCCGTTCTGGAAAATCCCAAAGCTTTGACACCTGAAAGAACAATAAGAGATTTGTCGATAAGCCAGCAACTATTAGGTTGGACCGAAAGTTCGTGCAATATTTTTCGGTATTTTATATTTTCGTTCCGGAAAACGGTTCAGGAAAAAATGTTTTAATGATTGACGTATGCACAATCAAATTCTCTATTCGAGCGGTGGGACGAAATCACAATCAATCTCCCTTAGAATTTTTCCAGTTTAATTTACTAGAAAATCGAGCTGCGGGCCGCTGCTTCCAAAACAGTTCCTATTTATCTTTTTGCATATTTCTGCATCTAAATAGTAGCTAAAAAGTGGAATTTTGCTGGCGCCTCTATGCTCTGGTATAGTTATGATGATCATGAAAGATGTCCGGGTCAAAAATTAGCGGCGCCTCCTAGAGAAACGCAAAAATAATAAAAACTACTGCGCCTAAAATCTTGTAAATTTTATCACATATACTATTAAACTCAGCGTATATGGGGGGAAGGAAACAGTGATATCGGCCCACAAAAATTTTAGAAAGAAATCTTCGAAGTTCGATTGTACGAACTTATGGTCTAACCTAATATTAAAACATATCAATAGGACCTTATTCAATAAATCACAAACAGCTATTCTCCTTTGCAAAGCTGAATCCCTAAATGATTACGGTAAGCGTGCAGCAAGCTTTTTTGTACTGAATTTTTCTTACCATTCCTACAATAAAGCAATTATTCTATCCCTTTCATTAGTATGAACCTCCAATATAATCCTTATTAACGCATTTAAAACAAGCTTTACTCCTAAGAATTTGAACTCGTCGGCGTGGCAATGCGGGGGAATTCGTTTGCACATGTAACTCGGTGACGGGGGCTTGGCAAAGAGCCAAGGGTCCCGCCGGGACACCGTAAGCACCCCCATTTTCCTGGCCTCCCGACACCCAAAGATGCGTTGAAAATAGGTTTCTAAAAGAAAACAAAGCTTTGGGAGTGTTTAATAATTGGCTAAATCCTTTATCAGCGATCCTATGTATTTTTGCCGTATGTTAGGGCTCCTATTTTGCTATGACACCTCGTTTTCGAGATTTTTCGCCTCTGCAAAGTGAAAATAGTATTTTTAAGTTTTTAACATGTTTCTCAAGATTTCGGTTATCTCTAAATACAGAATTTGAATGAATAACACTTTGGATCATTTGCTCTTCAATTTTTAAGCGTTTTCAATTCCATTTTATCATTTTAAATTGGCATTTTTAATTTATTAATTCAGATGGGTATTACTCGTGATAGCTGGCACAAACGGCGTGGCACCGGAGGAGCTCGCCCTCAGCCTCACGACAAGGTTTGTCAATTAACCATCAATATTTAAACATTTTTTATAGCATTAATTTGCATAAACCTGCAAAGATCAATAACGTCAGTAAATTTTTAGAGGAAGCACGAGCTTGGCCGCCCTTCCGCCAACACCAAGATTGGTGGCAAGAGGATCCATCAAGTCAGGTTGGGCATCTGATTTATATGTTTGAAAAAAAACTTTTAATGTTTGTAAGTAGAGTTTAATTTATCTGCACCTAAAGCTAGACCCTTTTTTTGAAAGGTATATGCAAGCACAAAATTGCTAGCCACGCCTTTATTGATCTTTGAAGTACGATATAGTAATTAATAACGCAAATTATCGACATCTGACGATAGGTATTATGAGTTCTATAATAGATACGTTCTAGATGCCGTGGTGGAACCATCAAGCACCGCGCTCTGCGTCTTGATGCCGGAAACTTTGCCTGGGCCTCGGAGGGAACCGCAAGGAAGACCCGTATCCTCGACACTGTCTACAACGCCACCAACAACGAGCTGGTGCGAACCAAGACTCTCGTCAAGGGAACCATCGTTACCAGTGAGTTCTTGAAGACTGTTAGACCTATCTACCCTCAGATTGAAGTTTTGATTAAACTTCCGGTTATTATTCCTTTCTCTTAAATTTTTGCGCGCAAGGCATCAAAAGATGCCTTTTCCTATGATCACCTCCGAACAAAAAGCAGCTACGGACGCGATTTGCATCCAAAAAAATGTATTTGCATAAGAACCGGAAGTTCCTCGCTTTGTGTGTGAATAAGCTTTGGATAACACCAATTTTTATCCATACTGCCGTAGTTCGAGCGATTTACGTTCTCTTAATGCCTAAAAACCATCAAATTTTCAGTCGATGCTCTGCCTTTCCGTCAGTGGTATGAGAACCATTACGCTCTGCCCCTCAGCCGGAGAAAGGGAGTCAAGATCACCGAGGAGGAACAGGCCAAGCTTGATGAGAAGAAAGTGTGAGTATTTAATTATATATTTTTAATAATAATGTAGTCATGACTATTCTATAACTCGAATGATTGTACTCAATAATTTTAGTGACGGCAAGCTGCCCAAGGAGTACCTTCTCCGTCAACGCAAGGCCGCCATTGACCCGAATGTTTCTGAGCAATTCGCTACCGGAAAGCTTCTAGGTATGTTTTTATTAATCAAACTTGAATTTCATGTACATGTATATTTTAATATAGTACAGTGTAGTTAAATGTATATTTTAAGACCAGTATCATTTTCAGCCCGTCTATCCTCTTCCCCCGGACAGGTCGGCCGCGCTGACGGCTACATCCTCGAGGGCAAGGAACTCGACTTCTATCTCCGTAAGATCCGCGCCAAGAAGGCTAAATAAATATCCAAATTCGTTGTGGTTATTGTTATCGAATAAATGTTTGGAATTCTTTATCACGACACAAACTATTTGCGATAAATTATACTAACAACATTTCCAGCCTCGGCACCGTTTCACCACGCTTCCCTCAGAATACTTGTTGAGCAGTTTTAGAGCGTTGATATCGTCAATTGACAAGGTTTTGTAGGCTTCCTAGGATTCCATGTATTTCTATAAAATGCCACTTTCACCTCAAAATTCGTCTCGATTCGGATAGGCGTGTTACTTTTCGGAATCACCCCAATTCCTTGCGAGGTAGCGAACGACAGCAAAATTCCAGTTCTCTGTCTTCCCGTTCTGCCCATAATTTCCTTCAAGATTTCACTGTCAGCGAGGTCAGGGCGGAAGTTTGCCAGGGAAGAAAAAGCCTAAAAAGCAATGCAATCTGAAAAAATTTACAACCTGGAAGAAAATGTTCTTCATCCGGCAGTACTGTATCAGGTCTGTCCGGAGAAATAGGGGGTGGTATTCGACCTAAAATCTATAGAATTGCTTGGCGATTTTTACTTGGTTCATCGTGGGCATCGCCAAACCGTGGGCCTCAAATTCTGCCAGGTGAATTGCTTCAAAGTTTGAAACGCCAACGCTTTTAATCAACCCAAGATCTCTAAAAATCTCATAATAATTTTTTCAGGTATTTTACCGTAATTTCAAAAGTGTTTTATAGCCCTCCAATCGGATTTCCTTGTTTCCGGAATAATTTTCGGCTTCATCATCCAATGTAGCGTAGGTGGGATAGTGGATCAATACTACATCAATGTACTCGAGTCGTAGATCGAAGAGGGCCTTTCGCACCTGAATCTTCTTTTGAAAAAAGTTATTTTAGTACCTGGTCTTCGACGACTTTGGCACAATTTTCCTTGCCGAGCTGTACCTTGGTGACGACCGTTACTTCTTCTCGGGCTAGCGAGATTTCGGGTAAGACTTTTTGCAAGGCTTCACCAATGGCAGCATGGTTACCGTAAACCTGGAAAGGAAAAATAAGGTAGGTAAGTGGTAATATAGTAGTCATCAAAATTAAGGAGTAGTGGGTTAATAAATATCTATGTTAACTACTAGCTACCAACACGCCTCGTAGCACCTCAAAACCTACAACGGCCGTATCGACCAATCGATAGCCACACTTGAAAGCAGTCCTCAACGTCTCTTCCAATCGTCCGACATCAGCTCCAGAAGTTCCCAACCCCACCAAAGGAATATGGACACCATCATTCAACTGCACCATTTCCTTAAATCATCTTTTCAAGCCAGCAAGACAACTCAGAGAGAGGAACATTGAGAGCAGAGAAAGCAGACCCAACAAAAACGCCTTGGTGGGAGAATGCCATTTCGACTAGATCGTCCGTTGATAAGCGACTATCTGATTTTTCTGTCTTTCATTCAAACGCAACACCAAAAACATTTATTCGACCATAAAAGGCAACCAAAAAATGAAAGGTTACACGTAGAAGATGATAAAGCGGTGGAAAGCTTTGGCGAGGAGAGAAGGGGAGGAGGGCAGCAATGAAAAACATTTTTGGGGAAATGGAACGTGGGGATGTTTTGATTGCATGCGCTCGATTATGATGGTTGATTGCGGAAAGGATTTTCTCAAAAAAAAAACCTGCCCTAATTGAGGCCTGATAGCCTTCTAACTTTTTACTTCATGGAGAAAAATCCCGTCCCTGACCAAGTGTGAAAAGGTAAATATCGGAGTTCGGTTATCGGTGACGATCATTGGATTTAAGGTAATACTGGCACGTATTGTTGATGGTATGCAAAGCCGGTTAGAACAGGTCAAGGGAAGATAAGCGGGCATGGCGGGAGGTGGTCGAAATTCAAACGTCGGTGGGCGAGACCGAGTTGCGGGGGCCCCCGCGGTGTACCAGCTTCAATGTATCGCGCTCTTCGTAGGGAGGGGCGTTCGCGCCACCGTTTCCGAAAAACTAAAATGTAAAAGTGTTCAGTCAATGTATTTATTGTCTACGCGAGACGGGCTGCTCTTCTCGGAAAGCGGGTGCTTTTCGTTTTCGCTGGTGGTGTCGGAGTAGGCTTTGAAGGAGGACATTCCCTGAAATTTTATTTTAAATTTGCTCGTTAAATTTATGCATTGGAAACTAATGATAAGTTGAGGCTTACATCACTGGTGTAAAGAGCAAGGATTTTCGTCGTCAGCTCATAAGCGATTCTTCCTCCAACGTGTTCCTTCACAAATTGAAGTAGCAGAACCCCATCTGGCATCGCACATTCATTCACGAAGCGAGAACGGTATTTCGAAAGCCCCTAAACAATTCTTAATTTTTACACAACTATTTATACCTTCCTGCGGCCCTTCGGGTCATCGGAACCAATTAGAAGCAAGCGATGACGCATAAATGGGAGGAGCAGCATAGCGCAGTAGTAGAAGAAATTCACAGCAGTGAGCACGAAAAGCATCATGAACCTGAATGACAAAGCTTGAATTCCCTTTGGTTTCCCTTACCAGATATACAATAGCAAGTACACTTTCTCGTTAATCATGTTCATCATAATTACACATTGAACGGTGTAGCGATGAACGTCGGCCAAACGACGCACGAGGAAGTCGCAGTAAATCACGCGCGGGAAGACCGATCCGTCGGCCATGCTTGAGTTTGTGACGATGTTGTTGATATTCTAAAATATATAGCTAAAGGCGATGAAGTGCTTATTACGATCATTCCCCAGCTGATGAACTTCCCGCCTAGGAATCGATCAACCAGCCAAATCTGGACGACCAGGTTGATGAAGTAGAGCGCTTTGGTCATAAGATAAAGATAGACAGCGTTACGTCCAGAGCGAGCTTGGGTATTCTAAAAAATAAATATTCTAACTTCGGCGTTTTCACTACCTGCGAGAATTTTCTTGGACGCTGGAAGACCGAGACCGCATCCAAGTAGTTGCTGGCCAGGTGTTCGATTTCTTGCTCACGTTCCTTGCCGTGAAATTTCTTGATGCGCTCAGCTTCGGTTAAGAAGTCGACAGGATTGATGGCTAAATAATAATCGTTACAAAGGCATTCGTTTTCTTACCGGTGTGGGCAAGGATAGAGTTCCATAAGTAATTTGGCATATAGAACATCACGGCTTGAAGGGCCAAAACGATCGGAACCCAACGGTAGTAAGAGATCTGATCATCACGTTCAGTAGGGTCCTGAAATCCCTATATATTTTTATTGACTTCACTCCTACCGTAGGCAGCTCGTGCTCCATCGGAACGTGATAAGAATTAGCGATGAAGCAGTAATTCTCCGCATATCGATCCCAGGTGCCTAAATGCGTTTTTATTTGGACATTTGGTCTAAACTAACCACTGAATTCCTTGGGCGTCCAGCACTGAATCGGAGATCCAAAATATTGCTTGCACGAAATCGCAAACGCAAAGAACGCCAGCATGTATGAGGTCACATAGTAATTGAGACGATCGACCGTATCCGAGACGGCTTGGATTTGGATGACACGCTTCAGGTAAGTGCTTAGGTATGGTATACCAAGCATGGCCTGCATTAAATGGATTAGATAAATAAGTGAGGCTTGAGAAAAGAGGAAGTCATTAAAAAGATATATCCATGATTCATATGAAGCTCATGGAGGTCTGCATCACAATGCACCTTCAGGGGTTCCCCCGAGGGCCGGCATAATCCAAGAACAAATAAGACCATCCTCGCCCTAGGGGGGAGGAGGGTCAAAGACTCTATGGGCCATCGATCTGTCTGGATCATTGTTTTCTGTTTGTGGGGGAGGGAGAGGGAGGAGGGTGATGATCTAATCGTTTCGGAAATAGACTAGGCTGGGCAAGCCACGTTACAAAAGTGAAGTGTTGGGTGGCAGAATGTTGGAGGCGTCGAGTTGAGTGGTGAATACAAATTTGGAAGGGGCTGTGGTGGGGAGTCTGGACAGTAAGGGTCGAATTTATGATCTTGACCATAGTAAAGGGGCTTTGGAGTAGAGGCTTACACGGGTATTGTCAATGGCGTTATATAGCTAGGCTTTACATATCATGCTAAAAATAACTAGCATTTAATGAATTATGAGATACCAAAGTAATAATTGATAATGACGATTCAGGAAGCTAGTTAGCATATAAGTGTTAGCTACCCACTTCCACGCCGACCAAGTTTGTTTATAGAAGGCCTTACAACAAGAAAAATGAAAAATTGGCTGAAAGATCGATGTTAAAACATTCGATTTTTTAAGACAAGGTGCTAAGCGAATCGATTAGAAGGACGCGGGTCTAGACGTGTGAGTGTGGTATCAAAAGGGTGGGCACCCCGGTGGGTCGGATGCCCCTGGGGCACGGGTCACAGGTCATACCAACAGAGAACGTCCACCGCTAAGCCCCGTTCCCAGGGTCGGCAGAGTTGCTAATTAAATCTCTAAAATCCGGGCTAAAAAATAAATAAATCTATAAAACTAGATAAATCAGCGCAACATTTTAACGTTAATCTGTTAAAGGGATTGTGAAGTAAGAAGAGACTTTCATGATCCCCGATATTTCTAATATCGATAGACTAACACTCTATCGACACCTTCCGGCGGAAAGCAAGGCTAAAAGCTATAAAAAAAGATCCGTTGGAACTGTATGTTGATGAGAGGGGAAATGATTCCTCCACCAGACGGCGAACGGCTATGTCTTTAGCTGTAAACACCCTGACCCCCCACAAACAAAAGGCCGTGCATAACTAATTTGAAACGTCTGCCCCGCGAATCAATCCTTAGATCCCGATCGGCATCTAGGACGTTGGCTAAGGAAATCAGCTGTTGGAAATTCTCTAACAAGCATGCGCTAAAGGCCGTTCGAGCCTGCAAGTGCGGGGGTTAACCTTTAGGGGGTGATAAAATCGGTGGCCTCAAGGCGTGTGGTGCTTAGGACGCTTGAGTGAAGAGGATGTTAATTGACGAGGTCTAAAGATAGTGACACTACATGTTTCTTTAGGTAACTTTCTAAAACGTCGATACCAAAAAGGGGGGCTTGTCAAACCCGGAAAATACAGTCCAGACAGATTCAAAAAGTGACCTATCCCTTTCCGAACGGCCTGAGGTCGCGCCAGACAACAAAGGATCCCGTACGGCGGCAATGGGAAAAAGCTTGAAGGCAAGGGCCCGGAGCACGGGCGCAATGAATCATTGCTGGTGGCAAATGTATTCAAAAGCCGGCGAAGATGGATCAATGCCGTTCGTGACGGTGAATACCAATGATGACTTGGAATTTTCCGCCCTCTGACCCTGTGTTGCGACGATTTCACCGAACGATAGACCATGGTCAATTCCAGGTCTGTCCAATGCATGAAATCAGAGGATTTGCCGAGCAGGAATATTTATTCAAAATATAAAATGATTAAGCTACGATAGTAATAGAAAAGACTGTAAAAAAAGAATGACTTCTCAGTATATAACAACTACTTGTGGATGGTGCTCGACATCCCGGGGGGCCGGCCCGCTGATGCAATCCATCAATGGGACCAGATTCAAATCGTCGCCCCAGGGTGTCCCTCCCAGATGGCCGCTCAACTGGGAACCGACGGCTAAATTGAGGCCAATCGATCGGGATTCGGATAGGGAATTGACAGATGCTACTTGGGGATTCTCTGGACAATCTCCTGAGATGTAAATTATGTTAGGTTTGGGCAAGCTATCCAAAAAGTTGCCGTGCTGTTTCCGGAAAATGAATTCGTATAGCCGTCAAACCTTAGCATTGCCCCGGAATTGCAACGCCGCCTCAAATGAAAATATTCTGAGTCATTCCACCAGATGGTGATGCCTGCAGTCAAACGCCGTCTGCCTCGAATCACCCGAAATAATAAACACTTGTAAAATCAAGCACCGGAGAGTGGCATATTCCAGGAAATCAAGCAGGCTTTTCTTCTAGTAGCCAATGATAGTGTTTGTGGAGCTTGACGGGTTGGCCGACGGCTTCGGGCCGCTTTTATTTGCGCTTTTCATTTTGAGGGATCATTTGTGAAGCGGGGGGGAATTGACACTTTGGGTGGAGTCAGGGTGGGTTTTTTGAGCGCTTGAACAGGACTAGTCTCAAAAGATTAGATCTGATCCAGATAAACAGATTCAGATCCAGATTAGACCAGATAAACATTCTGATAGTGGCAACCATGTCAGGTCAATTTTTAACAAAAATATCTGTAAATTTTGAAATCCAGCTCTTTGTAAATTTTGGAAAACGTGCGGAATCGGCAAACAACCCACATAAAATAGACTAGGAGGAGGTGAATAAAATTTTCAACGTATTTTACCGTCACTTTGTCAAAATACCTTTTTAACTATGTTTTGATTGGTTATGCGTTACAATACACCTTTCTGAAAGATCACAGACACAATTTTTTTGCCGCCGATGATAAGAAGGTATTGCGTGCGGTAGGCGTTCACGCGGGTGGCGTACCCCATCCGATGACAGGAAGACCCCCTGACGATGGCCACGGAACGATGTGACAGCCCCTCCCCGCTTTTCCCCCACTATATAACCCGTTCCTCGTATCATTTGATGACCATTCGCCCAGCCAAAATGCGACAAGCCACCCTATTCCTAACTGCGATTTTTGCCGCCTTTTGGAACTATTCAGGTTGGCCATTAAATGTCTATACTTATCTGAGATTTCAGCGGCTACCTTTCAAACTGGTAACCTTTCTGCAACGATGCCGTGTTGTTTGGAGAGCCTCGGAATCTCGACGTGTGCTAGACTGAAGAAGCGTGGACTATGGTAGGCTGAAGCCAACATTTCATACGGTGAATTTTAGGTTTTACCACAAGTGCCATGAAGATGCCGATTTCGCGATTATTCAATGCTGTCATACCTGCAAAACCAATGTCCCGGTAGTTAAACGTTAACTCTGATCATATTCACAATTCAGGAACTCGGCGCCAAGCTTTTCGCCAAATCCACGAAAAGTATCCAGTGCTTTGACAGACATGGGCCAGTGTTTTGCAACAAATTCCTCCAAGTAGGTGGCATGGCGAGGGTGTTATGGCCATCTCGAATAGGCCATTCTCTAATCCGCGTTTTTAGCCGGATGAAATGACCGGGTTGTCAAAGTGCACTGGAGCCAACGCCTCATTTGGATTTCGGCTGTGCCGTCGCTCGTGCGGCTTCTGCGAGCCAGACATATACATCAAGAACCGACAGGATCAACAGTGTCCGGTTATTGGATAAATTCGGGAAAGAATAAATTATTTATTGGTCGTGGATACAATGCATATTTTTAATGATGGCTGGAGCCTCAGTTCGTACCCAGATCGGCGCAAGGCCTGGGGAAATTGCCGTCATTTCTGAGAAAACAAGTTTTCCATATAGCTAAAGAACGTGCAAGAGCACCCTTAACCTTGCATGAAAATCGGTGCAAAGACCCTAAATAAATTTCTGAATCCTAAATTGCTCTTTTTAAACCCCTAGAGCATCCCGCAACAAACGCTAATCACACAATCACATTAATTTCCTGAAAACATGTTTGCCTGATTTCCAACTAACCCTAAGGAAATCTTTCGAAATAGACATTCACTTTCTACGAAAATCAATAATACTTCTAAAAATAGATGTCGGCACCTTGATTTGCCCCTTTGAAACCCCCAGAGAGGCCCTTCCGCAACGCACCTAATTAAGCATGCAACTACCTGACCAAAAGTGGCCCTTCCGGCACCACATCCATTTCCGTACGCTAAATTATTTAGCTGCCAATCTCACGCATGAACGGCAGTGTGGGCCCGCTAGCTTCCCGTCAGCAGCGCCGAAATTTCAGGCAGCCATTTTTTACGGCTGGCACCCGGCTGAGGCCCCCCTTTTCCGGTGGTGCCCCCGACCACCACCGGCCCGGGGCGGTCATGCAAGTGCGATTTAGATAGAGATTTCCGCGCCAACGAATCGTGGGGCGCCATTTCGATGTCTTGCAGGTTGCTGATCTCAGTGAGCTCTGTGTTGCAGGGAATGCAACTTTTGCTATTTTAAGCTTTATGTTCGCACAGACAAATGTTTAATATACATGATACCTAAAAACTACATGCTGTTAATTTTGCTAAGTTTCCTAACTTCTTTTTTTAAAATCATGCTCATCTGAAAATTCTTCCGCTGGGACGCAGGTCTCCCACACTGAAAGGAGCGTTGGCCAAACAGGCGAAAGAATTAACGCAAAATTTTTTTTAAGAAAAACTAACTTAGGAGAACTGAACGTAGTATAAGAAATCTGCAACTAGGTCCTGCCACGCATCATTGCAAACTCACCGTTTCCTGGGACTAGCGTAATTAGCATACCTAGATCCATTCTAGGTTTGGTTGATAAGGAACCGTGTAGCTGTATAATAATATGATACCCGGAAGGGAATATTCTACCAATCCAACATCGAATCCAACATTTTCTAACCAAAATGTCATCAACCCAATGAAACCCCCAGGACCACCTGCTACCCAGCCCCCCCCTCGGGCCCCAAAAGCCTCCCACTTGGGTCAAACAGCATCTCCCACCCCCCAATAACGTCTACTTTGAGAACCGGCTTTTTTGCATGCAGCCCAGGGGCCCTTCACCAACCTTACTCCCCTTTTCCGGGCCGATCCGCGTCCTCGAGCCGCCGATATTTTGCTTCGATTACTGCCCCCGTGGCCCAGATGTGGCCAATTTTGAGGAGTGAACAGCCCTCGCTCGCAATCCCGACCTCCCAATCCGGGCAAAGGCGCCATCCTTGGCCTAGGCGGATTGTTGCCATATTTGTTTGCATTCGTTCATTTTTTGTTAAAATACCTTATTTTTGATTTTTCTTTTGATAAAATTGACATTGGTTTGCTCATTCATTCGCCAAACATTTTTCATTTTTTTTCTTGAAGAACAGCCTTGAAGCTATAGAATGCTCAGATCAGCCTAGAAACCAAGCAAAAACCCGTTGTAAGAAGGAATACTGCAAAAACAAAAATAGTTGGCTATCTTTCTCAAAATAAAGCACATAATTAACAAAAAAAGAATAAAAAATAGCAGCCTCCCAATTTTTTCGAATCCGTTTCACCTTCACAAGGCTTCTATTTTACCCGAACGAAACCCGTCCCCCTTCCGGAAGCCCAATCTTATTTGTCGTGTGGAAATGGCAAAGTGAGCCGCTTCAAAGTCGGGCGGCTATTTTTTGTGTGTGTGGGAACACCTTTTTCAAGCCTTCGAGGCTTCAATCTCCTTTTCTGTGGAAACTTCATTACACATTCGAGAGCCGACCCGACACAGCGCCCCACATGGATGGGGCAGCAAAAGGGGGTTTAGGCCTTTTATGAGAAGCCCGAAGCTCTTCTCCAACCCTTTAACGCTTAATTGGTTTTTCATTGAAGAGTTTTATTTGGTATTTTGAAATGTTTGCGAGTTTCAAGGGGGTCGGTAATGGAGTCAGCGGAATTTAGTGCTGTTCTCGGATGATTTGAGTAGGATTTTTCTAAGAAATTTTATAATCAGCCATCTGTCAGAATCTATTTGAGGCTTTAGCAGCTCATGCGGAAAATAGGAAAATATGTGGTCATCTCTGGAACCCTCTTTTGGGCTTGCAGTTAATCCAACCCTGGCCGGCGTGTCTCCATTTTGGCTGATGACTACCCAAGCGCCGCCTTTACTTCTGAGGGAATTTACCATTGCAACAAAAATTTTTAAAATGGAATAATACTGTAATTCAAACAGATTTCTCGACAATAAATACTCTTTTATTTGGGAGCCCGCGAATTGCAAATTATTTTCTCGTAATTATCCAGTATGCATTAGTCGCTGGAATAATTCCGAAAACTTCTTTCCAACGTTCCCACGTTTTTCCTACTTCCTCCTGTCCCTCATTCTGCGAATGCTCGCCGTGGGATTTGGAGGGCGAGGCCAGAAAATTAAAAAAAACACCTTAAAACAGAGTGAAAACTAGAAGTGGTTCTCAGTTTGGTGAATCATTATTACTCCACTCTGGCTTTCATATTCAAAGATTATATTTTAGTGAACGAAATATTTCCTAGTTTAATTCAGAAAGTCCTAGATTAACATTTTAATAAGCTTTCCAGCCAAAAATTCCTTGTACCTTTTGTTGCACTTCTGAATAAAAAGCACGTTGCGCCCCTCGAAAATCCGGTGGGTGAAAAGCCTCCTCCCCTTTGCTCCAGGGCACATGCGATCGAGTTGTAATCGGATAGCTGCCTAAAAAGGGGTCTCTGCCAATGTCCTGAATGCTTCCCCTCCCTTTTTGGGCCCTCAACCAGCCATCGAATAGCACCTGCTCTTTTTGAAAGGCTTCTTCAAGAAAGCTGGTTATTGACAATTTATACGGCCAGGTAATGTTAATCTATGGGCAAGGTGAAAATAAGCTTATCGAGAAAGGTTAGTGGGTTTTTAGATGGAGCCCTCGTTATTTGATATGGTAATGGCAACAAGGGTCCCATGGTTTCAGCTTTTCCCTGAGCTTCGTTTGACATTTCTAATGTCGTTTAATTTTTTATTTGAGTGGCATTCAGACAACAGAGTTCTTCAACGCATCCGCCCCCAATGTTGTTTGGCTGACAATACATATAAGCCGCCTTTTAGCCAAAATCCGCATTCCATTTCATTACGCTGAATGCGGTTGGGCGCCAGACGGCTTTGGATTCTAGATTCGGGAATTGAGGAAGGACTTCATCTCCGGTTCGGGGCAAATTGACATTTCCGAGTCTAATTTTCCTATTTCCGCGGGTGCTTTTTACTCACAAATCGCAACTTTCAGTCTTTCCGATATACAACCGTTTTTAAGACAAATAAATCCATAGATTTATGATTAAAGTATTATTTTAGATTAAAATTTGAACTTATTTCATAATTATGTTTTTAATGATTGAACTATTAATGAATGGAATATTCAAATTTCAATGCATTTCCAGGTATGGAATGACTATGGGGTAAATCATGAGCAATTTGCCAATAGATGAGATCGCCCTGGTTGCGACGGGTAATATCATTACTTATTCTAAGCATAATTGATTCTTAGTATCACCAGGTCAGCAAAGCGGCACAGAAAGTGTGCAAGTCGTCGTGCGTCAAGGAGATTTGTGCAGCTCTCGTCGGAAGCGTCTGCTCAGCAAATTCCGGCGAATACCGTTCTGCTACATTCTCGCGAGTCAAAGAAATCATAATTTTGTTAAATTTCCGGTTCATACTAACGGCCATAGATTTTTGAATGCAAATCACTTAATAAAGCGGTTTTTGCTGCGCAGAAATCTAAGAAAAGGGCAAAGTTTGGTTTTGTAGATAAAAAAAATAGGATTTGAATAAGCTTTGTCAAATAGAAAGTCTGGCAGTGGATTTAAACAAAACTACCTCTAGCTATAAAGCCCCCATCCCCAGTGCCAGTCCACCCCATTTTTGCAACCAAACCAACCCGGCCAATCCGAAATGCTCCCCCCACCGGCCTCTAATCCAGCCAAATGGCGCTGCCAATTAAAAATAATTTTCGTCCGACCGCCCATCCGGGGCATTCCTGAACAAAATTATGTGCGTTAGGGCGAGGCAGGACGGGAATCTCGGGTGGAAGTTGGCGGTACGGATCCTAATGATAATTTTCATTTTGCAATTAACCTCTGAGATTTGCAATTTTGCAGGTGCTCAGCCTTGGCAGCCTTCTATTGCTGTCGATTCTTTCGTGCATTATTTATGAAACTTACAGGTGGGTTTGTTAATTGGAAATTGCGTCAAGCGATGCTGGAAAATAAGTATTTTTTGGTTGGATAGCAAAGAAAAAAATTATTCAGGTTTTGGCTTTTTTCTTTATTTTATATTTTACAGATGTTTAAATCTCGTTTTGTTTCAGAAATGGAGCACTCTCATTTGATCCAGAATTGGTGGAACATGATTCCGCAGATAGAGATTACCACAGAGGATTAGTCGATGAAGTCAATAACCAAGGGTCAACTTGGCAGGTATCTTGATTTGATACATAGTTATTATATATATCCAGGCCCGATACAACCGATATGCGTCCCGATCTCAAGAAAACAATGGTGTGGATATGGGCGAGGTAGATAACACAATAAGTTGTGAATCATTATTTTCATTTTTAGGTCAGCAAATTGTTGCACAAAAAGCAGAACTTATCAGATGCTGAAGTACTCCAAGATACTAAGGAACACCTCGAAGAATTAACAAGGTAGTTATCAACTCTGTTAAATGAGGAATCAACTGTTTTTTCAGGAAGCAAGTCAAACTACCAGATTCATACGATGTAAGGCTAGAATGGTCTCGATGCTCCTCTGTACATATTGCACCAAACCAAGGCGGTTGTGGTAGTTGTTGGGTGGGTTGATTTTCGCTGCAAATTAAGTGTATAATCAAATTTAAATTGCGTTTTTAAGTCTGTCTCCGCCGCTTCAACAATGTCCGACCGATTATGCATCTCAACGAATGGATCTGAACAGAGTCAACTGTCAGCACAACAACTAACATCTTGCTGCGCCAATTGTGGAGGGTATTTTAATTTGAATATTATACTGTAATTTAACTATATATCGTCAACCATTGTAGCTATATTATTCTAATTTTCTATTTTTCAGCTGCCAGGGTACCCACTGGGCCCACTCATCATTTGTATATTGGAAAGAAGAAGGACTAGTGTCAGGTAAGCCCTTCAAAAAGTTTTCGATAATTTTTTAAGGCGGTATGTACGGCTCGAATGAGGGTTGCCGGCCTTATGAGATTGCTCCAAACTGCGGCTCCCCCTGCTCTTCCTCGACATACACCAAAAAACGGACCCCGCACTGCTCAAAGACATGTCAACCATTTTATGCGAAGACTTACCATGAGGATGTTCACAAATGTAGTGGCTTAATTTCAACTATAATTGTTTTTTTAGCCCGCAAAGCTTACTGGATTTGGGCTGAGAAGGGCGGCTCGGAGGCTACACCAATTATTCACAAAACTATTCACAGTATTGTCAAAGGTAGGTAGAGCTTCAGGCCATTAATGTGCATTGCCTGATTTCAGAATCCGGTGCCGATATCATCAAAAAAGAAATCTTCCTCCATGGCCCGATCCTCGCGTGTTTCACACTTTTCGAAGATTTCCAGCACTACGATCGAGGTAAGACCACTCAAAAATTGTAAAAAACTCAAATTATAAAACCATTATAGGGATCTACAAAAGCAAATCGGTAAAAGACCCGAAAGAACTCTACGGCCATTGCGCCAAATTGATCGGCTGGGGTGTCGAAAACGGGACGAAATACTGGACGTACATGAACACATGGGGCCGTGACTGGGGAGAATACGGTAAGAGAAGCAAGAGTTAACGAAAATCTGAAATCCAGGATTCTTCCGCATCGACCAAAGTGAAATTCCCGAGGAAGCCGTCGCAGGCTTACCATAAAATGCCCAATTTCTAATCTAAGATTTTCGATGTACCATATTGAAACTATTTCTGGTTTTGAATAAATCTTTGGTATATAATGCAAGCCACTGAAATAAAAGCAACTTCATAATTTATCATTTGAGCAATAAAAAGGCGACAGAAAGTGCCCGGTGAGGGACACAAAACATCGAAATTCTGAAGGGGGGGAAGGCTACGATAAAGGGGGTGGATTCAGTGTGTGCGATGTGCAGTAATGTGGTGGGTCGCTATCGGCCGATACTCGTTTTAGCTCAAAGGAAAGACTAAGATTCAAATTGCAGGGATTACATCTAAAAGTGCCAAATCAGGTATACATTACTAGCGAATAAAAATCACAGGAGATTGTACAAATGAAAAGAACTGGGTGGATGTTTTGACAAGCGCAATTTTTAAATGGATCTGGTTGTTTCTTAAATTGCGCTCGTCATTAGATAATGAAGGGATGTTTTTTTAGGAAAGACTAATCGGGTTCAGTCGACTTCTAGAGGACGGCGCTGACCTGGACGCCGGGGCGACCCCTCAGAAGTGTTTGAGGGGAGCGCCCTCCCATGCTCCCGCGGACCAGCTCCCCGAGTGGTGTAGCGCCTATAAAATTACATTTTTATATGGTTATGTGTTTTTCGAACCTTGAATAATCTTATATTTTACGGGATTCCTCAAGATGTTATTATTAATTTGAATAACGCCGATAATTATCATGAGTTTACGCCACGTCTAAACTAAAATGGCGCGATTTTCGGCAAAAAAAAAACGCTAATTCGGATCTAGATGTCGCAAAACGCATATCGGTGATTAAAATGGAAATTAAAGCGGGATTTACTGACAATTGTTGTATGTGAAGCTGTTGTTGTATTTCAGTTACCAGTGGAAAAAGCCCGCTCCGCGGCCATTTTCCACTGGACCCCGTCCAGGAATCATGAATCTGAATACCTTCTTCTTTTAGCCTGCGGCGGAAGAACCTGAGTAATGGCGCCAGGGGCGTAGCCAGAAAAAATTTTCGGAGAGGGCCCCCCAAAAAATTTTTCCAAAAACTCAAAACATTGCCGAAAAAAACAGCGCCGCAGGCAAAATTTTTTGAAAAAAAAGGGTTACATAGCCCTACAACTAGCCGTAAAAACGTGAAAAAATAGCGTCCAAGGCAGCAAAATTTTTGAGAAAATAAAAATCATAGGGGTCCCCCCTTATGAAATTTTCGGGCCCCGGCCGATTTCGGGGGGGGCCGGGCCCCCGGGGCCTGTATTACGCTACGTCCCTGAATGGCGCCATTCTTTGGCCTGCGGCGCTAGAGCCAGCGTTCCGCTAAAACCTTTGCGCCTGCGGCGCTAGTTACTGGTTTTTCTCTATGGCTGGGCCTGCGGCGCGAGAGCCTGTGTCAAGGGACGATCCTTGGCCTGCGGCGCGAGAGCCTGGACCAAGGGCCTTTTCTTTGGCCTGCGGCGCGAGTTACTGGTTTTTCTCCGGGATTGGGCCTGCGGCGCGAGAGCCTGGGTCAAGGGCCTTTTCTTTGGCCTGCGGCGCTAGAGCGAGGGCCAGGCCTAAACCTCGCACACCGAGAGCCTAGAAATATGGTTAGTTGCTAAACTGCCAAAAAGCAAAAAGTTAGATTTGCTCAGGATCCGAACCCACGACTAAAGGCGTGATAGGCCTGGCGTAAATCCACTACACCACGGGGTAGATGGGAACAGGCGGCGGGGAAGCCCTCTTCTGTTCCGGGGAACCGGGGGGCGGGGAGGCACAGAAAAGGCCGACCCATGCCCCGGGAGGGAAGCCTTCTGGTCACTTTACAAAATTAAGTTTTTGAGTCTGAATCTGCAAAAAAATTGTAAAGATAATAAGATGCGCGTGATCCCCACTATCGAATACATAACTGGTCCAAATTTCAGCCCGAAATTCCAAATGCGAATCAAGTTATCGCCCGAACACCACGGCTCATCGCCCATTTTGTTAAGGATTTTTACTATTTTGCTTGTAAAATTGTTAAATCAAAGAATTTCGGAAAACAAAAAAAATGCGTGTTTGGCAAATGCATTTCTCCGCCTCCATGCCAAAAATCAGCGCGAAATTCGGCCTGACGGCCGAGAAATCGTCGTTACAGAAAACAAACATACTTTTCTCGCTTATAGGATAGGATAATATTAATTTCACTACCTGCACGGCGCGTCCGGGGAGCTGTTGCTGCGATTGAGTTGAATGGAAGTAGACCGGCGGCAATCTAGAGGAAGCTCTTATGGATACAAATTTTTCATCCTCAGGTGCGTTCAAACAAAACCGCGCCAACTTAGATAACATAAAAATCATAAACATCTTTGTATTTGTACCGAGTGCCTCTGGTGGATGTTGGTACGGTGGGGGAGGGCCGGGCTTGGGATGAACGATGGACGGTGGGGGAAGAGAAGCCTCGGCTTGGGCCCCCCCGATGGGACTCGGGGGAGGGGCACCTGTCCCCGGCAGAGTGAAGCACGTTGGACGGACGGGCCGCGGCTTAACGGAAGCTGATGATGCAAGCATTCAGTATGCTAACAGATACATCAGGCAACATGACCAATTTTCCTAATTGAAATTTTTGGGGCTAGGAACACTTGGGATCTCTAGTCGCACCTAAATACGGCTTATTTTTTCGGGCTTGTCTCCCGATGTAAGGTCTTAAAGCTCACTAAAGCTCCTCGCTCAATAACATAAATAGAAAAAAGCGTCTAGCAATAGCCAAACATAAGCTTCTAGCATGAACTAAAGTATCAAAACACCACCCATCAATGCTACCTGTAGTGTCCCATGGCCGAACCCGAGTACTGTTCCGTAAAAGGTGCGCCGACGTGGTGGCTGATGCTGCTCGCCGAGCGGGCCGATTGTGCAGAACTGAACGTAAAGAATAGACATGCACATGCTGGATTTCTAAGCTAAATAACACGTGAAAACTATTCCGTACTTGATCGCGTGCGTCCTGCGGAGGCCGTTCCTTTTCCGTTCGTCGCCGTAGGAGAGTGTTCCACGCTCCGGCGAGACGTCTTCGTACCGATTGGCTGCCGGCGGCACAGCTGTCGCCTAGAAATAAAGTATGATAATATATCTAGCAGCTGAATATCATGGGAGCTTCTGTAAAACCTACCGGACGGGACATCGGGAGGGTGTATGGCTCCTGGCGCGATTCTTCTCGGTGCGACGGCGGGATTGGTGGCCTTCCGGGGCGCTTCCCTGGCTGCGACTTCGACGGATCCCCAATCGGCGGCAACCCGCTTTTGGGTTTTGATGTTTTGCGGAACAGGGAGGGCTGCTCCTTCGTGTTGTTGTTGGGCTCCTTTTCCTAAATTGTTTGGTAAAGGTTGCTTAGCGGGGTGGAGATGAGGAAATCACTAGCTGAACACAAATTTAGTCCCTATTCGTTTGCTACAAAAACTACATCGGATAGATCATCGAAAGTTATATTATGAGGTTGAATTTCAAGCCTAAGATTTAATTCACAACTATTTGTAAGAATTAACAAATAAATCAAAGCGTATTAAATAAAACTAGCCTATTAAAGGTAATGTGGAAAAACTAAATAGAACCTCATAGTATATTTTTTCGGTGCTCTAGCAATAAATTAATTAACAAAAAGTTACACCCAGAAAATGAAAGAATTTTCATTATCGTCTCATCCTCCATACCTTGAAGCTGTTCCTTTTGAGCAGGACCCGCCGGAGTTCGCCCACAAACGAAGCCGCTCTCTGACTGCCCGACGCGGGACGTTGCTTCTCCCAAAGTTGCTCCTGCAAACCGAGAAGTTAGAAGCGAAGAAGAAGCTGTTTTTTTAGATCTTCATGCTTTGATTAATACAGTAACCATTTTCAACTGGCCACCGACTGCATTCTAGACAATACAGTTTTAAAACCACAAAAAAAGGGAATTTTTCCCTTCAAAGGAAATATATTATTTTGGGATTGAAAGGGAAGACACGAGAGCCACCAAACTTCGTATCACTCTCCTTCGAACATGCCTGAAATCGTTTACATGCATTTTTCATGCGTTTAATCTCATCAAAAACGCATTCCCATGCACTACTATCGATTTTGCACGTGCAGAAGCTACCTCCACGTTGCGAGACTCCACTGTTATACTAAAAGCGATTGTTTCGGTCTTGAGTTCGATATTTCAGGAATTTGGAAAAGATCAAAAATGACAATTTGGGATAGACGAGCCCCTAGGCGGCCTTGAGCATACTGTTACAAAAAAATGGGACAGACAAATTTGTTCCTTGCCTGCTAAGTTACAGTTGGGATTTGGGGGGAATTCGATATAAAAATAGGTGGGAAATCGCGCAGCATGCGAACTGACTTACGTTGCCGTTTGTCGCCGTGCATCTAAATATGGTTCTATAATGTGTATTTAGGGTGATTTTGCTGGACAGTAAAGGGGCGCTACATGCAAATTGTGAAATTGTTGATTTAGGAGAAGATTATGAAAGTTGATAAGAAAATTAATATAGGTCTTTCTTTCATTGATGATAATATGATAGTTTGATTTAAAGAATTTATATTAATTTGAAAACCGGTATGGACTCGATTATTTGTAATATGTTATTCTCTAAATTACACGAGGATACACATTAACAGTGCATCTTTATGATTTTTAAGACAAAAGTTTCCTTTACCTCCTACCACCCGAAAGTCCGAAAATCGGATTATTACGGAATTTTCTTAATGCGATTCGATAGGGCATCAAAAAGTATGTTAGCGGTCTTATCTTAATTACAGCTTTTAATATTGTAAGACAGATTAATTATAGCGAAAAAAAATAACAATCCAGAAATTTTAGACCTCCCGGGCTGGGGGTATAAAGTGAAGTCTGACAATCATTAAGTTAATTTTTTAAAAGAATAGATGTGTTACCAGCATAATCTGGCGATAATGGAGGAGGTGGTGGCAGAGTGGGGGTGTTGTCTTCCTCGGTGGAGACTATTGTGGCATGAATGGGGTCGATCGGCGATGGTGGTCCAGAATGTTCAGATGTTGAGGCTTCAATCGGCTGGGACACTGCCACCACCGACACAAGGTCTTCGGGATCATCGTAATTCGGGGGCGGAGGTGGCTTGGTGGGTGGGCTCTGGGCTTGCCCTCCAGAAGCCATCCGGAACGTCAATCTCGGCTTCCTCTCCGATCCACCCAGATGATCCAGTGTCCCATTTTCCACTTCCCGCCTCTCCGGGTCGTAGATTTCGGCACGTGGCCGTGCTTCTTGTGAATGGTTAGAGGACTCAGAGTGCAGTTCTAAAAATTGGGCACACTATTAATTGATTATTTTAAAGGCAGTAGAATAAAAAGTTTTCCGAGTAGGTTTTAGGCCGTTAAAAGAAATACTGGGAACGAATTGGTTAAGCAACGCACCTTTTCTGATGACATGTTGCCGAGCCAGGGGTGTTTCATTAGTGACCGGATGCTGCGGTTTGGGTTGTGGTTTTTCTTGAGCTTCCAGTTTCGGACCCCTGGCTACACGTCCGTGGCCCTCAGAGTCAGAAACCACGGATGAAGAGGGGGAGCGGCCCTGAGAAAATACTTCATAAGACGTCGATAGTTTTTTACCCACCTGATAACAGTTTGATCCATTCGAACTCCAGCTTCCGGAGTCAAACAGTTCCCTGTTAGAGTCGTAATCGGAGGTGGTTGAGTACGAGCGATCAAACATGACATCCTGAAGACGAGGCCGGGGCGGACCGCGCCTTTTCGGCTATAAAGGATCAAAATTTGATTTTTTTAAAAAGTTTAATGGGTTGAGAAAAAAGTCGAAAAGTTGGTTAGCGATATAGTAGAACGAAAGAGACAGTACCGCTACATCACCACATACGTCCGGAGAGCGAGACCGAGTGGGGACCATCGAAGCCGTCTGTTGGACAATCGCGTCGATGGATTTGGTTGTTTGGTCCCACCTAGAAAGGCTAAGGGAGTGGAAACCGTACCGGAAATTGTTAAAGATATACCGTTTTTCATCTAATATAGCTTCATGTTTTTGATCACCTTAAACAGAGAGCCCTATATCAGAGCGAAGCTTCGAAGGGAAAGGGTCCTATATTTTTCGGTCAACCGTAACGCGGTAATATTTATCGATTTTAATTAATGCTAACGGCCTACAAAATTTTAAAATGCGCATAGCTACCCAAGCATTTTATACAGGTATTTCGTTTGATTTCCAAAACCCCCGATCAATACCTTTTGGCACGAGATCTTGGTTGCACATCTCCCTGGGTACTATCCGATCGCAAGGCTGAATCCTCTCCAGAACTGTCGTCAGCCGAGGGTACTTTGTAGTTCCTTCTACAACTCTTAAAGTATACCAGCCAAGCGAAGGTGTGCAAACCTTCGGTCTTTCCGGTCTCCTTTGATGCCAACTTGTGGGGCAAGTATCTGCCCAGGCTGCGTCTCCGGTTTTCCCATCGAGAGGCTGGTGGCCAAAGTGGCCAACTGGTCCACGGATACTGGTAGATTGTGCATTGATTGGGAGACGGTTTGACTAAAATTATGACTGGTAAATACGAATTAATACACTGGTCATTAGCTATTAATAGGTACATTAACGAACCCTGTGCTAGCTTGTTTAACCGCGGCAGCGATGAGCTGTGTGAGAGCTTGCGTGGCGTCTCCAGAATTCTAAAGGACAAATCAATGAAAATTTCAAAGGAATATATACCCCATTCGAATTCAAGCCATAGATACTTTCCTGCCCATTATTATTTGATTGACTGAAGGGCAATGGAGTTGGGGCGACCAAAGTTGGCAGGGAGGAATAAGCTGACTCTCGATTTGTAGCGGCTAAAAATACTCTTTTTTTCATGATACATGGACACTACTTACCCATATTCTTAATATTTGGAATTCGTGACTTCAATGTATCAAGAGCAATTAAATTAATGACGGTAAACCAACAGGGAGTTCTGAAAAATCATTAAAATAGTGAAGTTCTTCAAACCTATTCATATCGCCTCCATCCTTGACCAACGCTACGCGGATCGCCGTTTTTAATAAAAGATTTCTGGCATCAGGTTGTCCATCGGATATCTCACGGTCCAGAGCGCTTTTGAAACGTTTCATGTCGAACAGCTATAACTATCCATTGGGCATGTAGATGCTAAATTACCTTGAAAGCTTTATCTTCTTCACTTGTATTCAAACGACCCTGTAGCCGTGCTAACCGATCCGAAATACAGTTTTTCCGACGTTCACTGTCTAAACCGGGGGTCAGCTCAAAATAACAAGGTAAACACACCTTTGAAACCGAGGCAAATAACCGGAGCCATCCCTCTTGACATTCCCTTGATATTGCCCTGGTAGTCGACTTTCAGGATGACACCCTATTTTTTTATTATTATCGTCTGTACATCATACTTACGTCCTGAATCTTTTGTCGGATTTCATCCGTGTATTCATCACGATACGTATTGTCAAAGGCATTAAAGCCAAGTGTGGAACCGTCGAATTCATCCTAAATCGGTTAATGTTCAGGTTCTAGGCCTAATGGGAGTTCATGATTTTATAGTTTACCTCAGATCCATCCACGATTATCGTTGTTTTTCTGAGATACGCTTTTGCCACCCGCTTGCACTTTTCCATGACCACAATTTTTCCCCATATCGCGTCATCGAGGCTGCCCTCATCGAGCTTGTCCAGCACCTCGCTGACTTGGTCCTGGAAATGTAACGTATGTATGTATACAAGATGTCTCTAGATTACGTAACGTAATTGGTTCCTTAAATGCCTAACATGAAAATTTTGACGTGATCCCATTACTGTGCCGTCCACAACCTACCACGAAGGTCTACTGAGGCAAGAGAGTATGAAGTAAGCCATCAGTAACATAATGTAAATTTTGAGTAGGTACCTCCAGATTACGTAACGTTTTTGGTCCCCTAGTTCCTTAACACCCAAGTTTCGACGTAACCACATTGCTTTTGCCATCCACAACCCATCACGACAGTCTGTAAGGTGACACTGGTCAGCCAACTGGCCACAACCGTTTTTCACATGCCACCTCCCTAAGTGATAGGCTCAGGTTCCATTTGTAAGAGCAAAGATGCCAACGCTCGCACCCGCACACCCACAAACGCCGTCCACTTTTTGTGGTGTGCACTGTGATGAGCGTGTGGGTATGTGTCAAAGTGTTCGTGTGTGGTCGGGACGTCATGAGGGGGCCCCCCCCCCTTCTCCCCCATCCGATCGTTTTTCGGATGGGCCCTCTGCCTTGCCATGTCCCCGGTTCCGGTTCGATGGTGGTGGGTCTTCACCGTCTGCCATCCTGTCACCAGGGTCCTTCGCTTCCCATCTAACGCCCCTTCACCCCACACTTGGCACGTTGCCAGAATGGAATGGATAGATTATCGGGTGTTTATCGTGGGGCAGGTCTTTGGGAAAGGTACGGAAAGTATGATCGAATGCGGGCGGACTGAAAAGGGTTTGGGGACTCAGCTAGGTAAAATATAATGAAAAACTTGGCGAATGATGAACCATGATGATATAAGATTGCAATCAAATAAAGAGACAGCCCTTAATGACCCCCTCCCCAACGAAGGGCGGCAATTAGCAAATCTCGCACGGTATCATTTTCTATGTCAACTTTATATAAACAACCAGTAATTTAAATTAGTACAGTTTAATTTTAAAACATGTAAATTATTCTATCTAAATTTTAGAACAATTCAAAATATTATGATGTTTTTGTAAGCACATCGTAATGAGTGATCAAGACATCAGAGCATATTTTGGAGGTAAAAGTTGTTATTTTAGCTCCAAAATACTTATAATTATGTGCATTACTACAAGCAAACCATGCGCCATTTGCCAATTGCCGTAAAGGTGAATAAGATATGACCAGATCGGATAAATCATAGGGCCTGGAGCAGAGAGTAATTTTTGTATATTAGCTCAAATAAGTCCAAAAACACCCATAAATCTTTTTAAATTCATCGATCGATTACATACTTATAACTAACCAGCGCCCAAAACCCGCTTCGCGGGCCTTGGGCGCTGGAATGCCGCCTTAGCACGATGAATTTGACTTTCCGACATCTCGGTTCCCGCGGACCCCCCAAACACACGCGCGCGTGCAACTCGGAAGAATAAGGGGATTTCCGATTTTTCACATTATGCAAATTAGCCCTTCCGGACCCCCAAAAATAAATAAAACCGGCCTTAACTTTGTAAACTTGTATTTTATCGAAATTCTGGAAACGCCATCGGAAACAGAAGGGTCGATTCCCCCCGGTGACGGAGATTTAGAGCATTTTATGCAGGGGAAGCCCCTCAAATCGGGCCTCGAAAGTGACATCCACACACACACACAGATATACACGCCAAAATTAAATAGGGTAGGATGTTGTGAAATTCTTAAACTACTCTCTATCTCGTGCACCCGACGCTAGACTACACCCCGATATAAAAACGGCCCCCGCGATGCCAACCCCGAAATGGACACGCCTGTGCCACAATGGTACGCCTGTGTTCTTCCCCAGCAGCCGGCCGTGTGTGTAATCCGAGACCCTCGGAGAACATTTAACCAAACCATCTCTATTCGCGCACTATGGATTATCAGGAGCTGTGCAAATACGGCATTTGTTCATGGACTACGAACATTAATGGCATCAGAAATGGGAACGACAAAATTTTCTGCAATTTAGTGTATATTTAAATCAACTTTGACAAATCCTACTTTTCATTTCCGTCTTATAGTTTGGGATCTCTATAGGCTGATTATATGGATTGAGTGTGTGTCCGGATGGTTTGGAGGGATTCTCCACAGATCTAAGCAAGGCCCTCGACACCCGGCTCTCGACACTCTGAATTGGCCTCCTTCCCCTCGGGGCCCGATAGCCTTCCTCCCAAAGGCTCCTCTCAAAATGGTAAACATCCCGCCCCGGAACGGCCGGAACCCCCTTTCAAAATAGGGCTTTGAAGCTGGCGACCGTTTGGTGGGAGGGCAAAAGAGGAATGGCTCGAAACTTCTCAAAAATCAGCATTAACATAACAGGGCTGGTTCGTTAGCGTAAGATGAATTTCAGCAAGTAAAGCGCACGTTAAGGTATCGGTCTTACAATGGTAGCAAGCGCCTATTTACGTATGCTCCTCTTTATTAATCAAAATCCCTGCGTGTATATAGCCCGAAAGCTAGTTTAATTTTTAGGCGTATGAATTTTTGAACCCCGTATTTCGAACTTTATTTGGAGGATCAATGGTGATAATTGATCGTTAGGAAGCGGGCTTTTTCCAGGCGTATCTTTGTCTAAGGGGAATCTCGACGGCACCCTCGACAGTCCCCCACCCATCCTCCGTGACGCTGCTATCGGACACTCATCGTCCGGTCATCCGGGTCATCAATAATAAGACAAAATTGGATCCTGGTGTATTTAGAAGCCTTAAATATCGATACCAACTCCTGGAATGCTGGTAGCCAACCTAAAAACCGCGACAAGGGCTAAATCGGAAATCTCATCGATTTATCCGCCTATCACAAGCCTAACCCCAGACTTCAATCATGACATAGCTACCGCGTTCTGCATGGTTCAGAGAGTTGGTATGGAATGAGCCAATGAGAGAGATGAGGGTACACGAGACTGGGGTGGGTACTCGACATTGAGTGCACGACATGTGCACGCGCCTACCGGACGGGATCTGGAGCCTGGGCTTCAGTAATCTGAAGGAATCTGAAGGAATCCGAGCGGGCTCGAGCTAATGAAAAAAAGGTTTCGAGAAATTTCAAGCAGATCGATAACGAGGGATATACGAATGTATCGAATTTCAATTGCGCTCCAAAAAATTGTCCGAATAGAGGAGTGCGCGATAAAATGTAGAGAGTGAGAAGAACCACGAAATTAGGTAAGGCAGTTAAAGTACAGTAATTAAAAATAAGAAACTTGACTTACCAGTAGGAACGTATCCAAGTCGTACCACATGTCGTTGTGGCCCCGAGAAGTGCCGTAAACCAGGCCCGCTCTGCTTACCAGGCCTGCTCCCGACGGTTCACGAGTAACGCTAAATCATTATAATCAAGAGGACGTTAAGGAAAAATAATAATTGCAAAGTTAGGAGGAGAAAATGGCGCTGGTTGTACGAGGATGTTGTATTCAAATCGTAATTCACGGATTAATTAATGAAAATAAAGGCATTAAAGAAATAATATATAACCAGCCGCTTCCAGCGGCTTCGCCGCTGCAAGCGGCTGGACTTCGGGCTACCCCCTGCACTCCCTCCCCCTCGCCGAAACGCGCGCGGCCTGGCTCACTATGTCCAAAATCACCCCAACCTTCGTCCCCCACCCCTTTTACTAAGGAAAAACTTTCAAAGTTAATTTTAATAATTTAAACTAAAAGTTTTTAATAATTTTTTATCAGTTTGGGGGTTTCTGACCACGCTCTATCCGAATCCGAAGAGACCTAAGCTCTAGCTCCTTTCCCCTTCGAGTTGAATCTGGGACATGACGCACAGACAGACAGACGGACAGACACCACAGCAAAATTATTATAGTTGATCTCATAAGTAGTTGACAATAAAACTCACGCTCGTGCCATCTTGCAGAATAAAATATGGCCCTAAAGGCCGAAATACAGTGTGCCCCCCGGTTCGATACTTCGAGACAGCACCGATTGATGGTTTGTCAGGGGTTGCAGGCTGGTCGGTGGCCTAGCTGATGGTTGTGGATTGGGAGGATGGAGGTGGCGGAAAGGGGTTGAGGCGCGAAGAGGTTGCAAAAGCCGGATGGGCCTCGGCGCGTGCGCGTGGGCCACCGCTGGGTGGGACCACCCCCCGCGTGCGGAGCGCGCGCGCGAGCACACCCAGGGCCACCGACCGGATTGGCCTCCCGGTTGGTGCCCGCCCGAGCTACTGTCAACCATCATCCACTGCATCCCTCCACCATGGCCCCGGTCTCTCATCTACCATCGCTACACACGCATCTGAGACTACACCCAGACATGAAAAACAGCCCCTCTCTTTGCCTGGTCGATGCCTCATACGGAATGTGTCGGCAACCGCGCGCAAATAATTGACAGCGTCCCGGCCTAACAGGGTGATGAAATCTGGGTGAAATTTTGGATGACTAACGGAAGCGGAACCGGATACGGAATGGAGGGTAATTGAATCGTTGTTGGGAATAGGAAAGCTTTATATGGGAATGGACAAGGGCTAAATGTTGGAAAAAAGTTCTAATTACAGTACGCTCGAGATGACCGGAATATTTCGGAAAAGTTGGAAAACAGGCTAATTCGTATTTCAACCTTCAGAGTAGCATGCAAAGCGCACAATGGCGAAAATTTGCATTATCAACCACTACTTCAGAATATTATGCTCTGTATGCTGTGAAGCTTTCTGAACTAGGGAGGTTTGTTCGCTAAATCCTGGGCTAGATAGCAGATGTAATTCTCATCATTGAGATTTGAGAAGTAACAACACTTTCATGATTTTTAAAATTTAAAATTATCGTTTTCTATTTTTGCGCAGCAATTCTAAAGGTAGCTTCCATTTCTTTTGCCCTTAAGACCCCGGTAATTTAAATAGCAGAGGGCCGGCCGTGCGGAAACAAAGGAAATGAAGCCCCGTCCCGCTTGAACGAATGAGTAGATGTTACGAATTCATTCATACCCTCACATCCCATATTTACTTAACTTTTCACATATTTTAAACTAGCCAGCGTTTCAAAGCGAACGCATTTTCATTAAGTCCACAATTCTTATTTACATCCCCCGCTCATGTCAATATTTATAAAGGCATCGGGTTAATGAGTTCTTTGAACCATTACCCGTCCCCCATCACCCGCTCACTATGCCCCCGACTTATCGGCGGCCCAGGTTGAAGGCAGGGGGGTCGGTTTGCTACACGTGTTTGCACTCAATGATCGTCTACAAACCGGCCTTCCCCACCTCTTCCCTCCACACACTACTAGGAAAAGCGGTAACATGGCTTTTTAACAAACCTTATTTGTTTGATTAAAAGGAGCGTGGTGGTAGCCAAATGAAGCAAAAAGGCGCTGATTTTGTACGTATACGCGTGTTGAAGGCACGAAGGTAATTTTCAGCGCATACGGCATGACGTCCGTGCCCCTTCCCTGGCCCTCATTAGTGCGCTAAAACGCTGATAAGGGCTCTTCCGATTCCAGCGTCTGCTGAATTTCTCAAAATGCCTGGGATTGACGTAAAACCTGGATTTCTTCTCCCGAGGCCTCGTTACGATGCGACACATTGGCGGCTCTAATAGAACGACCCAGGATACACGATATAGGAAGAAATACTGATCGCAAAAACGGTCTCGAAGTTACTAATTGAGTTATCAGAAGAAGAAGGACAAAAATGCCAAGTAATGCCAAGTAGTATGTACCAAGGAGCGAGGGTTTTCTGGTTCGCGACGGAGCTTGAGTTCCGGTGGTAAAAACCCCCTGAAATGCCGATAATACGCTCATTTGAATCCAACAGTTAGCGTTTTCCATCTGAGTTAGCCAGCTATGGAATTACGCTAGAGGCCTGATAAGTTCTTTCCGGTTCTACTGCACTATACTAAAACAATTTGATTTTCTTGGCGTGCCATAAATGGATCAAAATAGCAGAAAAGGAAGCACAATGGCGGCAGCGGTGGTGAAAGTTACGTATTCATGGTTAATGGCTACTACCTGTGACACAAGAAAGATTGAGGAATAGAATGAACCAGGATAGACGAAGACGCACAAGAAATAAGATAAGAAAGATATAGAAATTCATAGAAGTACATGAAGGACTGCACATGAAGAACTGACAACCAACCAGCGGAGCACCCCAGACCACCGGCCAAGAAATTTCTGGCGAAGCGGGGTGAGAATAATGAGGTGAATGGGCGAGGGCCAAAAGCTTAACGGCTTGTGCCATCGAACGAATGGAAGGGGACACAGATCGGAAGACATGCTGTGTCCAAGCGACCACCTCCTTCCCCAACAGCCGATTGGCCATGGCGCCGCGCCTAATACTACAGGATAAGCCCTAGTCGAAGGGAAAAGCACAGGAGACCGGGGCGAACGACAAAAGAAGCCGCGCCACCCCCCACCGCCGGCCCGCCAACACCACGCTGGCCATGGCCCACCTGTGTCGACTTGGCCTCTGGACCACTGAAGGTGTCATGTGTCTGCAGACCTGCCCCACCCGCCACCTCAATCCACACCAAACACATATCGCACCAGCCCTTTACGCACCCGGTGCTCTCATTTTTACCGTGGTGGTGAGAGAATGGGGATGAGGGAGAGATTTAGAGAGATTGAAAAATGGACGTAACCACGAATTCGGCGATCGTATGGTAATTTTGTTGGAATTATGACAAGGCAAAAACGACTTATCTCCATTTAGTCGACTGTCAGAGCGCTGATTTCCATTTTGCAGTCCTGACCAATTTCGTTTCCGACAAGCCTGGACGTTTTTTGATCTGGGCAGCTTTTAAAAGCAGACACAACATTCCGATCGAGGGGATACAAAAATATTAAATTACACGCGTAATTATTTGCCACAAACACGTCTACTTAGCCCGCGTTCATCGAAATCGCCAAAATGAGAAACGGTGAGATGAAAATCGGCGAAGCGAAAATCGGAAAAATTAAGATCCGCGACATGAGCTTTCAGCGACGGATAGCAGGATTTGACCTCTAAAAGAACGAAAAGTAGACAAAGATTACTACAAGCATTATTGCAAAGAAGAGACCAAGCTGATCCGTACCGCGACAACAACCGGATTTAGTCTTTGTTTGGACTTTTGTTTGCAAAAATAGCGCTAGAATTTTTAAGTAATATTGCCCAACGGGCTCGAGCTCCCTTGCTCTTTCTTACTTACAAACCACAATATTGAAATTATCACCAATCGGAATTTTTTAGCGTTTCCCTCCCATTTACCCTTAACATCTCCACACATTTTGATCCTTGCCCTCACAATCCTGGCCATTTTTGTTCTCATGAAAACGTAGCCCAGCCCCCCAATGCACCCCGTGTGAAAACAAAAACTCGCGACTATATCCCTGTGATCTGTACGATCCCTCCTCCAAAAAACATAAACGCCCAAGTGCAATTTCGTTAATAAAAACCATGATTTTGTATCCCCTGGGGCCCTGCGCGGCCTAGAAAATATCGTGATTGCCATAAATCCGCGATTCGTTGGCTGGAAATCTAATTAACGCCGGGCCCTGAAATGGCTCGAGAAGTCGGGAGACATTTCGAGGTGGGTTTTTGGTATTTTAGAGCTGATGGGCTTTTCTTGTGGATGCACTACCCGAACTTGAAACTATAATCCTGGCCTGGAATGGGTTTGGGCTCATTCAGCCATTTTTGCTCCTTGTAATGCGCATTTCCGAAACCGATAAGTATGGGCGTCAACTGGGTTCCGGCATAATTTGTTTCACCCGTTCGGATTGCTTATATAAAATTCGGGAATCAACAGTCAGGGCTGGACACCGCGTCTCCTCGATTTTTTTTATCTTCTTTTTATGTTTTGCATGTAATTGTTTATAATATGCTTTAGAGTTTAGATTTATTTATTTTTTACCAGCTTGGAACAAAAAGCAGGAGCTATCGGTCACTTTGGCTTTCGATAGATTGGGTAGGTTTATTTATCTTTTTTCTTGAACCCGTCGGAGTTTTTGTTCCAACTCAGGGTTGAGCGGCAATTTTGGCAGGCAGATTATCTAAATTCAGGATTATCTAGTAAATCCAGCGTTTTTTTGTCTATTTGTATTCGTTTTTCTGTCGCCGACATATGTTTCATAAATTCCGGATTTATCTGAACGTTAAAAATTTCCGTTAAATTTGGTGATTAGTAGACTTATTTTTCTTTTACATCCCACATTTAACTAATCGCAACAAAATACCCATAGGCTCTACTCTTTCCCTCAACGCCAAGTGTCAGGCTGCAAATGACGGGCTGGGAATGGCCGCGAAAAAGGGTTCGCTGCGTC